CGGATCCATCTGGTGGTGGTTCTGTCTACCCCACATTTTTCTATCTTGTCAAGTAGTAGGTTGTGATCTACTTTATCAAATGCCTTACTGAAGTCCAAGTAAATTATGTCCACAGCATTCCTCTGATCCACTAATTTTGTCACTTGGTCAAAGAATGCAATAAGATTTGTCTGGCATGATCTATTTTTGACAAACCCATGTTGGCTTTTAGTAATGACTTTGTTTGCCTCTAGGTGTTCGTTGATTCGTTGTTTGATTATCTTTTCCAGGATCTTCCCAGGTATTGAGGTCAGGCTGATAGGTCTGTAATTTCCTGGATCCATTTTTTTTCCTTTTTTGAGGATGGGAACTACATCAGCTCTTTTCCAGTCCTCTGGTAGTTCCCCTGTGTTCCAGGATCTTTGAAAAATATAGTTCAGTGGCTCCGATATCACATCTGCCAGTTCCTTGAGAACTCTGGGGTGTAATCCGTCTGGTCCTGGCGATTTGAACTCATCTAGGCTGGACAGGTGCTCACTAACGATTTTCTTGCCTATCTTAACTTGTGTTTCTGTTTTGTTTTTTGTGGCACTATTTTTGATAGGTTGGTCTGTTTTTTCCCTTTGTGTAAAGACAGATGCAAAAAATGAGTTAAATAGTTCTGCTTTCTCCCTGTTGCTTGTCACCTTCTTGCCACTTCCACCCACTAATGGACCAATCATTTCCTTCACTTTTTTCTTGTTTTTTACATGTTGAAAGAAGCTTTTTTTGTTATTTTTGACTTTGGTCGCAAGCCTCAGTTCATTTTGAGCCTTGGCTTTCTTCACTTCATCTTTGCAGGCTCGGGCTATTTGCTGATATTCTGACTTAGTTATGTTCCCCTCTTTCCACTTTCTATACTTGTCCTTTTTATCTTTCAATTTGTCAGAGAGTTCTTTATGCAGCCATGCTGGTTTCTTTTGAGAGCTGTTGTTTTTCCTCTTTGTTGGTATTGTGCTAGACTGTGCTTTTATTATCTCATTTTTCAAAATTTCCCAAGCTTCTTGAGTTGTTTTCCCCTTGAGGATTCTCATCCATGGAATCCTTCCCAAGCCCTCTCTAAGTTTATTGAAATTAGCTCTCTTGAAGTCCAAGACTCTAGTTTGACTGTGTTCTATTGGTTGTGCTTCTATAATGTTGAATTCTAATATTGCATGATCACTTCCTCCCAGGGTTCCTATGGCTCCAACACCGTCTATCATTTCATCTCTGTTAGTGAGAATTAGATCCAAAATGGCTAATCCCCTAGTTCCATTCTCTACTTTTTGGGAGACAAAGTTGTCTGCTAGGTTTGCCAGGAACCTGTTTGATCTTCCACTTGGTGCGGAGTTTGTCTCCCAGTTGATGTCAGGGTAGTTAAAGTCCCCCATTACTATTGTGATGTGCTTCCTACATACCTTAGTTAGCTGACTAGCAAAAAGTTCATCTATTTCCTCTGTTTGGTTGGGTGGTCTGTAGTATACACCTATGGCAATGTCATTCCCCCCCCCTTTTATATTGACCCAAATGCATTCAAGACAGTTTTTATCATTGTTGTACTCTATTTCTGTGAAGATGTAGTTATTTCTTATATAGAGAGCAACTCCACCTCCTCTTTTATTTGGTCTGTTTCTTTTAAATAATTTAAATCCCTCTAGCTGTGTGTTCCATGTGTGAGTTTCATCCCACCATGTTTCCGTAATGGCAACAATATCGTATCTGCCCTCATTAACCTGAATTTCTAGTTCACCCTGTTTGCTGTTCATACTTTGTGCATTGGTGTATAAACATTTGAGTCCTTTGTGGGTGGCCCTGTGTTTCCTTTCTACATAACCTGTGTGGTGCCTGAGTTCCCCTATTGTCTTACCACCTATTTGGTTAGTGCACTTTATATGGCACTCGCTATTAGAGGCTTCATTTTGATTGGTAGCAAGGTTGGTATTCTTGTCCACACACACATCTGTGCTACATGGACTGATAGCCCTATAGTTTTTAAATTGCCGGGGACAGGGTTGTTCCGTATCAATTAACTCCCTGTCCCCGCTGTTTAGTTTAAATTTCCCTCCAGAAAATCTGTGAATTTATAGCCGAGTAACTCAGTCCCTTTTTTTGATGGATGCAAACCATCTCTTTTGTACATCTTTTGATTGGACCAGCTACTGACATCGTGACTAATATATCCAAAGCCTTCCCCTTTACACCATTCCTTTAGCCACATATTGAATTGTGCTATGCGCTGGCCTTTTCCGTTTTGCTCCTTATACACTGGTAAAACCTCTGAGAAAGTAAGCCTACAGCCTATTCTGCTAAGTTCCTTCCCCAAGCTCTGGAAATCATTCTGCACAGAGAGTACATCTTTTTGGGACAGATCATTAGTGCCAAGGTGTACAATAGCCTCCACATCACAGTCCTTGCTGCCATTTTTGATTATTTTAGAAATACGCTTCTTGTCCCTACTGGCAGTAGCACCTGGAAGACACCTGACCTCTTTCAAAGCCTCTGTGTCCTTTCCTAAATTTACATCCCTTATAATTGAATCACCTACCAGAAGGTAGCTTCTCTTTTTGGGAGCCTTTCTATTCTTGCATGACTGATGTGCAATACCTGATTCACACTTCTCCCTATCAAAATCTAGTTCTTCATCTCGGACCACAATCCCCTGCTTATTTGAGTTATCTTCACAAATACCTTTACCAGTCTCCTTAATGTCCCTATTAAGGTCAGCAAGAGCACTGTAGCTGTTGTGCAGGGACACAGCGAAAGCTTTGTGTTTATGGTTCACAGCTCTCACCCTGCCAGATCCCACGGTTGTCCACACTGCCCTTTTCCTGCAGGATCTTTGTGGTAAAGGGGGCTGATAGCAGGGAGGCTTACTAGAGTAGAGGGGCTGAACTGGACACCTAATTTCTGCCCGAAGAGCACGGATTACAGACCCTAGGTAAATGATCTGTCCTTGTAGGCTAGTGATTTGTTTACAGATAGGACAGTTTCCAAGTTTGAAAAGGGTACTGCGAAGGACGGCTGCAAAGCAGGTGTTGCACTGAACTAAGCCGGACATCTTAGATACAGGGGATGTCAGACACACTTGCCCTGAATGTACTGCTACTGTTTGTGATTTTTAGTTATATAGTTATATAATTCGCGCGCCGTTAGGCGCGCTTGCTACTTTCCTGGTGGATTCTCCCAAAACTTACAGTTTAAGCAGCAGCTGGTGGAATGTAGCACGTTCCAGCAACCCGATCAGAGTTGGAATGGGGTTTAAATAGAGTATAATACCCTATAAATATAATGGAGATCCAATCAGGGCCTTGCTACTTTCCTGGTGGATTCTCCCAAAACTTACAGTTTAAGCAGCAGCTGGTGGAATGTAGCACGTTCCAGCAACCCGATCAGAGTTGGAATGGGGTTTAAATAGAGTATAATACCCTATAAATATAATGGAGATCCAATCAGGGCCTTGCTACTTTCCTGGTGGATTCTCCCAAAACTTACAGTTTAAGCAGCAGCTGGTGGAATGTAGCACGTTCCAGCAACCCGATCAGAGTTGGAATGGGGTTTAAATAGAGTATAATACCCTATAAATATAATGGAGATCCAATCAGGGCCTTGCTACTTTCCTGGTGGATTCTCCCAAAACTTACAGTTTAAGCAGCAGCTGGTGGAATGTAGCACGTTCCAGCAACCCGATCAGAGTTGGAATGGGGTTTAAATAGAGTATAATACCCTATAAATATAATGGAGATCCAATCAGGGCCTTGCTACTTTCCTGGTGGATTCTCCCAAAACTTACAGTTTAAGCAGCAGCTGGTGGAATGTAGCACGTTCCAGCAACCCGATCAGAGTTGGAATGGGGTTTAAATAGAGTATAATACCCTATAAATATAATGGAGATCCAATCAGGGCCTTGCTACTTTCCTGGTGGATTCTCCCAAAACTTACAGTTTAAGCAGCAGCTGGTGGAATGTAGCACGTTCCAGCAACCCGATCAGAGTTGGAATGGGGTTTAAATAGAGTATAATACCCTATAAATATAATGGAGATCCAATCAGGGCCTTGCTACTTTCCTGGTGGATTCTCCCAAAACTTACAGTTTAAGCAGCAGCTGGTGGAATGTAGCACGTTCCAGCAACCCGATCAGAGTTGGAATGGGGTTTAAATAGAGTATAATACCCTATAAATATAATGGAGATCCAATCAGGGCCTTGCTACTTTCCTGGTGGATTCTCCCAAAACTTACAGTTTAAGCAGCAGCTGGTGGAATGTAGCACGTTCCAGCAACCCGATCAGAGTTGGAATGGGGTTTAAATAGAGTATAATACCCTATAAATATAATGGAGATCCAATCAGGGCCTTGCTACTTTCCTGGTGGATTCTCCCAAAACTTACAGTTTAAGCAGCAGCTGGTGGAATGTAGCACGTTCCAGCAACCCGATCAGAGTTGGAATCAGGGGTGTCAGACCAGAACTCTGGTCCCTAATCCCCATCTTCAGTGCAGATAAATTCTACAATTTGAATGTAGAATGCTAAGAAGACCCCCACTGTTCATTGACCCCATTCTGGTAAAGCTTTGACAAAAACTAGGAAATAGCAATAGTTAAGTTTGCTTTTTATACTGTATGAAGCTGCTCATCAAAATTGAAAGTTTTATACAGTTCTGATCTCATATGACTAACATCATAAACAGAGAAGGTACTGCCTAAATTGTGGGAAAACAACTTTTGGGTTACCTTTACAGTTTAGCATTAGGGGGAAAAAATGAAAACCTTTCCTATATACTGAATTCAAAACTTTACTTCTAAAATTGTTTTGAACTGACTTGTTTCTATGGTGGTCTTGGGTTCTAAAGACTCATCACAGAAATATTCATGACCAACTGTCTATTGAGATTCTCAATCATCCAGGTCATGGTTGTTCCAAAGGTGCTTTTTTCCAAAAAGCAACTGGACTTTCTTGGGTTTCTTTTGAAAATATTTTGTTTCTTATCCAAGAACTGAAGAAGCTTCTTGGCTGAGAAGCGAAATGTTTTCAAAAGAAAAAAAAAGACAAGCAAGTACAGTTGCCTTTTGAAAAAAGCACCTTTGGAACATTCATGGCCAAATATATAGATCACTATAGATAATTCAGGAGATTCCTGGTTGTATCATCTATGTAGTAAAGAAAATCAGTTAGGGTTATCAGCTGAGAAGAGCTATTACTTCTTTTTCTCAGTTTCAGGCCAAATAATTAAGCCTTGCTGGCATTTGAGTCCAGTGGAATTCAGTAGGATTTAGTTATGCTTTTATTGCAATGGGAAATAGAGGTTATGGCTTCTACAGACAATATAACTGGTGGGACAGGAGAAACAAGAATTTCTCCCATGTGGTGAATTTGGCTCGCTCATCAAAAATTATCCATGTCAGTTATAGGATATTGAAAAGTAACTTAGGTCTTCTGGCATCCTATCAGTTGGAAAACAAATACCAAGCAATTGGTTTTTTTTAAAAAAGGGAAAGCAGGAACTCCTGAATAGGAATGGGCAACCTGATGCTGTCCAAAAACCTCACTATGTCTCCCTTGGTTATTAGGTGAGTTATATGGGAATTGCTTGTTTTAAACAGCTTAGAGCCTGGCTACCTAGGGGGATGTGTTTCTGCAGATTCACATTCTGCAGGAGGAACCAGGTGTGCTGTTTTTTGAGACAGATCTCTTAGGCAAATGAAAGATGGCCTTTTCCTGCAACACTCTCAGACTATTCAGCTACCACGCTTTCTCTCTTTAGAAAATACACGAAAACACCTATTTCATTAATACATATTTTTCATTATTGTGATTATTCTTCTAGTTCCTTTAGGACAGGAACATTATTTGGAGATTCAACAGTTGTCCTCAAGGATCATTCAGATTAGAGGAACTAGAGAGCAAATCCATTTTAAATACTACATTATGTGCTATTCTGGATACAGTCTCTCAATTTTATATTCTCATATGTCAAAAAGAATGTTAATGCTATTTTGCATTCTCACCTATTAATTTTTCTTCTAGTTGACAATTGTCACAACTTTGTGATGGAAGGTGAGTTTAAAAGGAGAATGAGAAATTTCATGAAGCGTCTCCAAGATGAGGTATGAGAAGTCATCTCTCATTCATGGGCCACACTAAACGCTATTGTCAGACAAGTGTGATGGCTGTTATAGAAATTTGATATAGATGGATGTATGGATGAATAGATGGATGCAAAATGGATGGACAGACAGACAGACAGATTGATAAGTAGATGATAGATAAAACCTTGGCAAGAAAACTGCAGGGACTTCCAGAATCAAACAGAGCTGAACTGAGAGGAATAAAAGAAGAGCTACCCAGAATCTCTATAGGAAGTTGAGCAGCTATATGAATTGAATCAACAGATCAATGCATTTGCACCCCTTACATCATTGTAAATATTGATTTAACACATTTAATAGGCCAGAATTGCAAATGGAGAGTTTACATGATTACATAATAACAGGGCTTTTTTTTGTCATAGAACGCCCAGAACGGAGTTCTGGCACCTTTTTTGGATGGAACCTTGTAGGGTAGGCAAGGCGGGTTGTATGACATGGGTGATTCTGGCACTTTTTTTTGTTTTTTACAAAAAAAGCACTGCATAATAAGTTCTATTCATCTTTTCTGCACTGTCCACTTAATATGAAAATAATCCCTCATTTTTGGGGCGCCTCGAGATAATTTAAAACTGATTAAAGTATCATAAATTGCAAAGAAAGAGAAAAATGAATCTGTGCCCTTGAAATACTTTAAAACATACACAGTGATACACACACAGAGGAGAAATTACTAGAATAGTTCAAGAACTCATCTACATTTTTACTGTTTGGGGATATAGTGGCCCCATTTTTTTAATTCCTATTTGTATCCCCTTTAATTCTTTTGTATTTCAGTAACATAATGAAAATCAGAGTAGTAGTCCAATATTAGATGTTCCATTGAAGTATGGAGGTATTCATCCGATATTGCTGGGGAAAAAAAATCAGTTTATTCTGGGAAATATATTGTCAGGAATATGGAAATTGGGCGGATTCACCTCATTTTCAGAGCAAGAAAATGAAAAATTATACAGTACGCTAGCACTTGATTCCAGTTAGGTTGGCATAGGTAAATCAGAGTTATTCTTAGAACTGTTGGAGAGGTTAGCAAAACAAGGGTGTTTCTTTCATTTGTGGTGGTCATGTGAAAAGCAATATCTTTTGGGCACAAAATGCTTGGAGAGATAAATAGCAAGACTAAATAAAGAATTAAAATGTTCCTCAAATTTAGGTTTGCTGCACTGAATTATAGGACTAAATCTCAAGCTTAAAAATAAAGGACTCATTGACTTAACTAGCAACTGAACTACTACCGGTAATTAGTCAATGGAACAATTGAAAAGTGGATTAATACATCTTCTCTGATTGCTACCTCAGAAAAAATAATTTAAAAAATAAAATAATGAAATCAGAGGCAGGAGACACAATTCTATAAAATTTGAATGTATTTTATAGTTTATCACTATTGAGAGAAATGATAAAAACCCATCCAAAATTCATAAAATTTTGACCATAATATGAAAATTTTTGGATATAAATGTCTACATATGTTATACTTGTTCATTTCTTAGATTTTAAAATATGTTTTTTCTCCATGCAACATGGATATATGTTCTTTAGTTCATATTGTTAAGTGTAGTTCAAATAAAAAACTGGATCAAGAAAAATTTAGTAATAAGTCTAGTGTTCAACTCCAAGTTGGATCTTCTTGAACTTCAGTGCATTTTAATATTGCAAATGAATTCAGCAAGAATAAGATTTTCTCCTCTCTACTTCTGTGATTGTGGAAGAAAAAGCCCATAATGGAAAACAACAATTATTTAAGGGTGTAGAGTTTAAATACCAGAGGTATCAGCTGGCATGTAAGATTTGAGAATGGAGAAACAATGGTTAACCCCACCTCACCCCCATTGTTTGAAAAATTAGTGTCTTTAATTGCTAATATAAGTTTGTCTTTTTAAAATAGCATTTTTGTCAATATTGCAGGAAGAACTATCTAAAGGTTCATCAACAACAACATTAATAGAAGCAAGGAGGCGTATTGAGGTATATAATATTAGTTTTTTCAGTTAGATTATTTTTTTGCAAATCAATACAATGTCAATCTTTAAGGTGTTAAAATAGAAAGCATACATTTTTAAAAACATGTAGCTCCCTTTCCCCCTTATTTTTGTCACCTGTCACAGATACACGGCATGTAACTGTTGGGCATCCTCTTTTGCATCTATCTCTGCTTTCTTGGAGAAAACCAATTATTTCTTGGAGAAAACCAATTATTAAACCAGTGTGAGCCTTAATCTAATATATGGAATCTTTCAGGTTTTCTGCCAGTTATTACACAAATCCTGCCATATTTCTGCATCTTTTACCAATTTGCCTGAAACTGATACTTCCTGGTATTGTAATGGTAAGGTGACCAACTTTTTTACAACAAAAAGGAGGACATGAATAAATTTAAGAAAAAAATATCGTAAATAAAAGCAACATTGTATTTATTGCAACAATAATACAGAATACATTATAATATGATAAATGCATAATAAAAACATTTGTAACAATAACATTTTATATTGTAATTATGCTTACATGCCTATTAATTATTTAAATGAGTACTTTTCCATTGAATGAATATTTTTTGTCAATGTATCATCTTCTAACAATATATTGGAAATATCTGAACAAGAAATATCCTTCATATTGAATTTTACGGCAAGTGCTGCAGCTAGAGTATCAATATTCAATCTCGATTTCTCACTTGTCCAAAAATCTACACGGCTGGACTGCGCAGGGTGGGCGGCGGAGGCAGGTGTTGTGAGCCAGGTGCTCCAGGATGGCCATGTAGATGCGCAGGGTGAGGTGGTGGCAGCGCAGGTCAGCACTGCGTAGACCACCAGCTGGCGCAGCCCATGGAAGGTCAACTGCCCGTCACGCCCTCGCCCACAGCCGCCCCGCCAGCACTGCTGCCCTGCCGTGGAGAACCGGCCCTACGGCTCGCAAAGCAGCAGCCGTGCCGGCTCCAGCCCTGCAGCCACCCCCCCCAGCTGCCCCCCAGCACCACCGCCTACCCTGTGTATCCCCGCGTAGAATCGAACAGGGAAGATCAAGTGAAACTTACCGCTCCAGTCTCCTCCAGCTATCTTTGGAACTAAGAAGTAGGAGATCGTGTAGTTGGGTGGCAGTGAGGGGTGCAAGTTCCTGCAACTTGCACGTGCAAAGTTTGCCGCCCGGGTGTTTTGGCGCGCTCAGCAGCAATTCCTATTGGCTTTCAAAAGCCAATAGGGGGAGTAGATGCAAAAGTTGAAAAAAAATTTAAAAAAAGGTCCCGGAACGCCTTCTGAGCGTTCTATGAGGAAACAAAAGCCCTGCAGATTAGTCGTCAAAAAGAGGACATTTAGGAGGACATTTTCGAGAAAGGACAGAACTCCCAAAAGGAGGACTGTCCTCCCAAAAGGAGGACGGTATATGGAAAAGGAGGACATTTAGGAGGACACTTTTCAAGGGAGGACAGAACTCAAAAAAGGAGGACTGTCCTTCCAAAAGGAGGACGGTTGGTCACTTTAGTAATGGGCAATGTTAATATTCCCTGTCTGTGATTATGCAGATGCTTTCCCCCTTTATCTATTGTGTATTGCATTAACTGTTAGGCAGTCATTAGTTCTGCCTCTTGTGCATTATAGTAATTTGGTAAAACAGCTCCTAATTTTAAGTTTGTGATAGAAACATATATTTAAGAGGTCTGTCATGTCCGTTCCTCCCACCATGATGCCCCATTAATAAACCAAACTTCCTGATCTGGGTATGAAGAAGTTAAAGGGAGAATGAGGTTCTGTGTAGTTCAAAACCTACTGCATGTTTGGTTCAAGGATGGAGGCATAAAGCAGATTAGGCTTGAATAAATGCTCTAGCCTGCATATCTGAAATCCCATCTGTTTTCAAAGTGGTTAGGGGGCTATTAAAGAGGTTTATTTGGAATACCTTCCTTTTCTAAGTTGCTAAAAATGTTTCAGCAGTCTTTAGAAATGGATATTGTTTCTCGAGGGTTACAGGGGACGTGGTGGTCTTTACTTGTTCGCTAACGTGTGTCCCCTCCCTCTGGAACTGAAGTCTCCCAGTCAGAGGTCTGTCTGCTTTCTGTCTAAAAGAAAGAATTTAATAACAGAAATTTCAATTCCATTGTCTAATAGAGCCAGCTTAGGACTATTGTTGTTCTTCACATCTTTAGGAACTTTCAAAATCCCCCCCCCTCTTCTTTCCCATCTTCTTTTATTACTCATCTCTCCCCTTTCTTTATTTTACTTTCCTCCTCTACCCCTCCTTGCTTTCATAAAGGAGAAGGCTAATGGATAAGTTCATTCACTTGCCCAATTCTGGATTGCTCAGAGCATTGCAACCCACCCAGCACTTTTTCTAAAGACTGATTGCTCTAAGGGCATTGCGTGATGTCACCCAATGTTCTCTCCTTGCAAAAGTTTGGGTCACAGGAAAACAGTTTATCATAGATTCTTCTTTTTCCACCCAAGAGTGAATAAACTTTTTTTGCCCCTAATGTCCATTTAGAGCAGTCAGTTAGGAATTGCATATGGGTGCACGTATATTGACATGCATGGATGTAAATGATGCACACATATGTTTTCTACACCTCAGAGTACAGAATCTAGACTAACATCTTCTATGCTGGCATCACATAGAAGTTTACAAAATTATGTAATTGTTCTCATAACTATGAAACATTTCTCCTTGAAGAAATACCTTAATGAAGGAAAAATATCAAGCATTGGATTCTCAATTCATGTTATCTTTTCATTGGTTTTACAGTTGCTTGCCACTCATTAGTTTGAAATGCATGGCTATGCACATTGAATCAATGTCAATCAATCAATTTTACAGAGTTTGTCCATACTATTATTTCAGCTTAAACAAATTTATCTAAGACATTTAATTTAGATGAGTTGATCTCATCTCAATTCTGGTTGGTTATTCTTGATGCCACCTTACTACCTACCAGGAAAGTGACAGAATAAATACATCTGATATGATAAATCTGATAAATCTTCAAAATCTAAGGGATTGGTTTGGACAAAACTCAGCAGCACTTTTTCGTGCAGCTGCTGACAAAAACAGGATCATCAACATGATCGCCAATGTCCAATAATGGAAATGGCACAAGAAGAAGAAGAAGATAAATCTGATAAGTCTTTGTGTAGTTATGTATGGGTATATGATAACAATAGCATCAACAATGATGGTAATGAAATGGTTTAGAGATGCAGAATCTACTTACAAAAATGAACTTTACAGTATAATTAATAGCATATTTTATTAATCTTTATTACTGTAATTGCTTTTAAGCTACATACTTCGAGATCACACAACTATAAATTTTCCAGACATCAGGAAGACATTACAACACATGTAATCCAGCAGGAAGTGGCATGCCATGATTCCTGCTCTACAAAATATCACCACCAGGTAAGCAATCTGTCATGTTAAGAATCTTTTGAGTATACATAACTGAAAAATGCAGAGATATTTCATATAGGACTGATTATTTTTAAGAAAGAAAATATAAAACATGTTCTCTTAGCATTGTTTTCTGCAAAAAGTGGCCTCTGAAAAGAGCAGAGGACCTCACACAGACACACACTGAAATTTTCAGCTCTTCTTTCCAAAAAGCAATTTGGGAGACTAGAAGGAAGCTTTGGATGACTACAAATCCCAACACTGAAAATCAGTGGGGCAGTACTAGGCTTTCTAATTTTATTCCATTTTTCATGGAACTGTAACAGTTCAGGCCTCAACTCAGGAACAGCGAGTGGTTGTAACTAATCCACATATTTATTTGACCTGGGATATGTATAGGAGATCTGCTCCTATTTCTTGTTTCTAGGATTGAAACCTGTTACAACAAAATAAGATTAAATTACTGGTTTAGCCTTACAGCATATGGTTAGTAATCCTTTTTGGTATTTGAGTAATATATGGATTACACACCAGTTTAATCATAGATCTATTGTATGGCACTAAACAAGCTGTTAATAACAAATTCATATTGGTAATATGAAGCAAATAGTGCAGCCTGAATCATAATAGTGTGAGAAGGCAAAGTCGCACGACACCTTTGCCACCCAGATCACTCACCAACCGTAGCCTTCTCTAACCTGTTTGAACTCTAAGCAACAAAACAAAAGACCCCTTAAATATTTTTGCCCATGTTGACCTTTGGACTGAAACTGACTAAGTAGTCTCTTCCTAGGAAATTGGCAAATATCGGCAACTCAGTCAAAACCATACATTCTTCTCAAGAGGTAGAAGTTTCCCAGATGCAGTTCCACTATCCAAGGTCAAGATCTGGGTACACAAAGATGATAGATAGATAGATAGATAGATAGATAGATAGATAGATAGATAGATAGATAGATAGATAGATAGATAGATAGATAGATGAAAATATCATACTACAAATAAATAAATGCCTTCTTACTTGAGAAAATAAATCACACTTATTAAGATCGTAGATTACAATTCTGCATCCAGTTATTAATGCAAAATTTTGTTTGAAATCAGTTGAATTACAGTTCCTGGTAGGATTTTGCACTGAGAATATTGAACTAATTTATTCATTTTCAGAAAGTGAATCTAAAGAAAAGGAACAATGTGATCTAATATTGATTTGCTGATGAGATTTGGAGGAAGATTTCAATGCACCTCAGTGCATTTTAAGATCGCAAATTAACTTACCAAAAATAAGATTTTCTCCCCTTTACTTTAGCGATTGTGGGTGAAAAGGGATATATTGGTAAGAAATAATTAGTTAAGGAGTATATAACTTTATTGAAATGACTAAAATGCCTCAAAATAGCGAACAGGCTGTTCAATATTCCATCCCAACAGGCTGTAAAAAGTAGGAGATGAAGAAGGAAAAGGTAGATTATGCCAGCACACACTGCAGCTACACAGTTTGTATTAAGTGCCAGTTGTCAATACATACAGAGCAATATCAAAATAAATCTTTTATTCAGTGGTATGTACTTTCAGGAAAATGTGCAGAATTTAGGTAGCTGAAGTATTGGTTGGCACCTAAGAATTGAGGAAAGAGAAACATTGGTTAACTCCCCCTCACCGATAAAGCTGTTGTTTGAAAAATTAGTGTTTTTAATTGTTGACAATAAGTTTGACTTTTTAAAACTGTGGTTTTTTTGTTAATGTTGTAGGAAGATCGCCTTACAACAGAAAGAAGTTTGGTGGAAATAAAACCGGAAGAACACCTGAAGTATGCTCAGCTGCAGGACTTTAGGTAAGTTTTGGCATACCTGAAAATGTCTTTACGTGGTGCCCTTTCATTTTGAAAAAACATACTTCCAATTGCCCAGAGTTCTTGCATTTTGTGTCATGTTGCTTTATATCCATCAAATACTGAAGTTAACCTTATGGCAGTCATTTATAGTGTGATAATGAGATTAAATCCAAGCCAAACAGAATTATTTATTATCCCAGGAGTTTTGAAGGAAGACATTAATTAAGCGGGCTAATTTCACTTGGCCTTGATATTTTACAGAAGGAATATGTCAGATGAAGCCTTGCAGATACACAAGCTGAAAAGAGAGAATTTGTCTCTCAGATGCAAGGTTGAAAAACTAGGCGGAGAGAAGGAGGAATTCTTGAAAGATAATAAATATCTTAAAGAAGAACTTAACAGGTGAGAAATTTCTAGAGAACAATCCTAATTTACTCTCCCAGAATTCTATTAGATTCTTCCCTTGAACCTGTAAAATACCATGTTCTATGTTTAACTACAACGCCTGGATGAAAATCAGAGGTGACTCCTTTCAACATGTTGAAAAAAGTCTGGCTCTCCAAGCATGTCAGTCTGCCTTTATCTGATCTCAGTGAGGCCTTGTTCCCTAAAACGCTTTCAGTGAGAAAACAACTTGTTGGGATATCTTGACATTTTGGCATTTGGCAACCAAGTGAGGACTTTTCCAACACCTTGAATCCATAACTTTTTATTCCTTCTGGAAAGCATTTTGAATTAATTTGTACTTTTTACGAAATGTAAAAGAAAACAATCTAAAGAATTCTTGCCTATATTACTAGACTAAGTAATGCTAAAAATTAAAGTAAAGATCAATAACTTGTACTCAAATGATCCAACTCTTATAAATAAAATGATGAATGCTGATGTAGCCAATCCAATCCCTTAAAATAATATAATGGAGATAACAGCTATGATCTGGGAAGATTTACTGATTTGTAATTTTTACTGAGCATATCTCAAGTGTCCAATAAATCAATAAAGCATAGGATAGATCACTAGCTGTTATAATAGAAATAGCAAAACTGAATTAATTAAAATGACTATATATATATATATATATATATATATATATATATATATATATATATATAAAATAAGGTATGCTTAATGTTTTTTAATTTAAAAACAAACTTATCAGTTCAAGTAAAAAATGAATTGGGTTATTTTCACTATCCTTTTGATATTTTACAGAAAGAAAGTCATAATTTCTCATCTGTTGGTGGACATAGAAGAGCTCCAATGTGAGAAAAAGGAGCTTATTGATATCATTCGCTGCCTGCATTGGAAGAAACAGCAGTTGTGTGATAAGTTTGAGGAAAAACTGAACAGGTGAGCTATTTTTAAATAGCAACCTGACTTTCCCTTCCAGAATTTCACATTAAATTCTCCTTAGTTCCATAATATATAATAAAACATTATACATGAAGACTTTCAGGCACAGTAAGCAAAAAAGAATGAAGAAGAACATATATCACATCTGGTTTCCTTTTGCTAGCTTAGACTCTATTATTGGGTTTATAAGACTATTAACGGTATCATTTTAAAAGGGTTTTTTAAAAAGCTTGAAATATAAGAGTTCACCTTACATTTTTTTTTGCATTGGAGAAAATCAGAATATAAATGAGGATATAAATGAATATATAAAACTAAATTTGAGATCCAGAGCATAATAAACAGTTGTCTAATAGACAAATAAGATGTTTGTTGGTCCAGATTCATATGTAACCTTCTGATTTTTCTAGAGAGAGAGCATTAAGAAAGGACTGCTGTAGGTCATTGATGTATAGAGACAAGTTATTATCACTTGTGAGTAAAGAATACAAAAAATGCTTGGTGACTATCTGGCAAACAAGTGCAGATGTTGAAAAACCTCGAATGCTGGAAAATGAACTAAAAAAGGAATGGCTTCAAGCTTCCATAGACAATCTCAAAACCAAACATTCCAAAGAATCTAGACAATATATACAGGGATGGCTTCAGGAATCTCTGAAAAACCTGAAGGAGGATTCCTCTAAGGCATCAAGAGACACCCTGCCAGAATGGCTTAAAGCTTCAGTGATAAATCTTGAAAAGGAATGTTCAGAAGAATTTAGGGAAGATGTGAAGGAATGGCTGGATATATCCATAAATCATCTTCAAGAAAAGGGGCCAGAAACATCCCCAATTAATGTGCAGGGATGGCTTGAAGCATCTATTAAAAGTATTCAAGATCTTCAGAAATCTGAGGCAGAATCTCAAGGTAGCTTAAGAAAGGGATGGCTTGAAAAATCAATAGAGAACCTGACGAAGCAAGGTTCTGAAGTACCTGTAGAGAATGCATTACAGTGGCTTGAAGATTCCTTAGAAAGCCTCTCATCTTCTAAAGCACCGGAACCAGTTCTGGAAACATGGCTTCGAGACTCCTTGAAAAACCTAGAAGAGGAAAGTCCTGAAACATCTAATAAAGATGCCAAAGAATGGCTTGAAATATCTATAAATAACCTTGAGGAGGAAGGACCTGAAGCACCTCATCTAAATACTCAAGAATGGCTTAAAGAATCTATTAAAGGCATTCAGGATTTACAGAAGTCTAAGATAGCTTTTCAAAAGAGCCTAAGAAATGGATGGTTTGAAAAATCAATACAGAACCTGAAGAAGCAATATTCTGAAGAACCAGCGGAGAATATATTACAATGGCTTCAAGGATCCCTTGAAAGTTTCTCAGCTTCTGAAGAACCTAGACCAGTTCTGGAAAAATGGCTTGACGAATCCGTGAAAAACTTGGAAGAAGAAAGTCCTGAAGCATTTAAACAAGATGCCAAAAAATGGCTTGAAATATCTATTAAGAACTTGGAAGAGGAAAGAGTGGAAGAACTGCATTTAGGAACTCAGGAATGGCTTGAAGCCTCTATTAAAAGCATTCAGGATTTAAAGAAGTCTAAGGTAAAATTTCAAGATAGCATAAATAATGGATGGCTTGGAAAATCAACACACGACCTCCAGAAGCAATGTTCTGAAGGACCTTTGGAAAATATATTACAGTGGCTTAAAAGATCTCTAGAAAGCCTGTCATCTTCTAAAGCACCCCACCTAGTTCTGGAAAATTGGCTTCAAGAATCCTTGAAAAACCTGGAACAGGAAAGTCCTGAAGCAGCTAAACAAGATATCAAAAAATGGCTTGAAATATCTATAATTAACCTTGAACCAGAAGGACCTGAGGTACCACATCTAGATCCCCAGGAATGGCTTGAAGCATCGATTAAAGGCATCCAGGATTTCAAAAAGCAATCGTCTAAAGCATCAAAAGTAAGCCTGACAAACAGCAGGGAGAGAGTGCTTTGGGTAGAGTCTGCCTTATCTGAAAGGAGCTTAAGGAATGGATGGTTGCAAGCATCTTTAGCAAGTTCCAGAGAACATGGTTCTATTGCATCCAGAACAAGTGTTCAAGCATGGCTACAAACATCTTTGAAAAGACTCAGGGAAGAGTTTCCAGAAGGAGCCAGAAACAACTTGGAGGAATGGCTCCAAGAATCCATACAAAATATACAGATGGGATGTCCTGAAGAATCCATGCCATATGTGAAGGAATGGCTTGATATTACTCTTAATCACTTCCAAGAGGGAGGACCTGAAACATCCCATCTAAATGTGAAGGAGTGGCTTGAAACATCTATTCAAGGTCTGCAGGAGGAAATAGTAAAAGAGATGACAGGAGGAAAAGATCCTAAATTATGGAGGACAAAAGTACCTGTTTTCAAAGGAATTCCTTCCCAAGAAAAACAGGTATATGACAGCCAACAGACTAATTATTCCTGGTTTTCTCTCTCTCTTTTCTTTATATATTGAGCCAAAAGGGAAATTATTTTATTTCTAGTTCTGCATACAAACTGTCTTCAAGGAAAGGAAGAATAGCAAATTTTGCATAAAATGAATTTCAGAGAAAAAAATCTATTTAATCCAGAATTGGGATTTAATTATATTAAACTAAAAAACTGAAAACAGGCTCAAGAGGAAATAGTTGAAACCCCAAACAAAGACGAGGAAGGAGAATTTGAATGAAAAAGGAAGATGCTAAGGATAAAAGGCACTTGATAAAGTGAGCTGCAGCTCATGAAAGCTGATGCCTTTTAATACAAAATGTTAGTCAGAAAAGTCGCTGCCAGGATCCTCCTAATTTGTTACCAAGAGTTCAATAATAATTCGGAATATAAATTATTCAAGCCCTCCCATCACTTGGAAACAATCCCTTTGTGAAACCTTGCACAATCATTCCTAATATGTGCAGAATAGGAACATGGGGCTTATCATTTGCTTATTAATGATGGCCTTCAGCTTGCTGTCTGTGCTTATTAGGAGTTGTACTAAAAACACAGGGAAGGCTACATGTGCTCCATCCTTGGTGTAGAGAATACTCAACATGAGGAACAAGAATCTCTCTGATATAGTCCTCATTAGAGATTACAGGGATAATATTGCTTTTGAACCCTAAATTCAAGAACCCAAGTAGAACTGGAGCTCCTATACTTACAGAGAGCAATTACTTTTTCCTAATCTGTAGGAGTGATGGAAAGATCACCTTTAGATGACATTATTTGGCTACCAAAAGAATGCTTTATCCCTCTAGTAAACAGATCCAGTGGAGGACATGATAAATCCCCTGTCTGTTCTGTGGGTTCACAGATTTGGCCATACAGCAGATAATTTAGAGTGGCCTTTCTTAGATGACATTCTACAAGAGATGGCTAGAGTTTCATGAGAGATTATAAAAATAAATATATATGATTTTTTTAACTTTGTGCACCATGTAGTACCAGCTGTAGAAGTCATATTTTTTATGCAAGGGTTCACTGAGATTTGAAAATTATTTCAGAAGTTTTCTGGATAAAAAGGTTGAGCAATGCTGATTTATAGAGAGAGAATAATGGAGACAAATTTGATTACTAGTGATTGACCATAAGAAAAAAAAACAGTTTGAATGTAGAAATTGAGGGATACAAAAGCTGTTTTTGAGGAATTAGAAGTAAAAATTATTTGAAGGGCTTCTTGCAAATAGGTGAAATCTAGGATTTCTTGTTTTAAATCTTACATTTCAGAGAATAGTGCTATGTATTATAATCTGCATATGACTTTTTATTGGCAAGACTCAGAAGAGTTGCAAAAAAGTATCGGACATTAAAGGAGAGCCATGTTAGAAATCTGGAAACTACCACATTTAATAAAATGTCCTTTTTAATAATATTTTTAGTCTGAAAAGGGACTACCAGATTGCTTTTTAAAAAATAATTGATCTGGAAGAGATGAAGTTGGGTGAGAGATACCCATATGATCCAAAGGGTGCTTGGTAATCAGAATCTGAACTATCAAATTATTTCTAAGATCATGTAATTTAGGCAATGATGCTACAATCAATATGGTTATTAATGTAATACATGTGCCTGAAAATCTATTCACTTGTTTTGTGATTTCCCCCTCATGGCTTCCAGACTTTAAGGAATATACTAGGCAAGCTGAGCTTGTGTTGCAGGTATGTCTTATTCTAACCAATATGGGCTGTAATTATAGATAGATTTAATTCAACTGGTTTGAGTATACCTCCCCCCCCCTTCCCTCTAAATATTTAGAAAAGTCCCTATTGTTTAAAATGTCTGGATTGGAAATGAAAGGTTCCCCCTCAATTCACTCTTTCCTGTGAGTGGTGCTGCTCCATGCTTGGTGCTACATTTGAGCTAACTGCTCTTTTACAAGGTGATGTGATTATTGCTCTTGAGACCATTTTAGTTCTCCTTTCAGCCTGATGCTTAATTTCCCACCACAGTAGACCCAAAAATATATCAGGAATGAACCCTTTTCCTCTGGTGCCCTATTGAGAAGCACCTGATCAGACTTTAGCTGATGCCCTCCAGATATGTTGGGCTACATTTCTTAATGGTTTTGTTGAGCATAGATGCTATAGTTTGGAAAATATCCAGCCAATGAAAGGCTAGTGGGCAGAGTGAATTACCATAGCAAAGGTTTCCTAATAAGCTGTTCTTTTTTCTCTGTCCTTTTCAGAAAAAAGCAGAAGCAAATATTGAAGACTTGTAGACTCATCCTTCTGACAGTGTTCATTTTTGCCATTTATGTACATGTTAGACTGCACTGCGTAGTGAGTAAGCAGGGCCTTAGACCTTACTAAAACTGCAGTACCAGGATGAAAAAGCTCTAGTTGGCATTATAGCAACATTGTAAAAAATATATAATGTATAATAGTCAAAATCCTTAGTTTGTTCTTTTTTCATTTTTAATGCAGTCCAAATCTGTCTTATGGCTGGACTTTCACAACAAAGTGTAGGAAAGATTGAGATAATAAGAAACATGAAAATTTCTAATCTCTTTAAAGAGAGAGAAAACACCAGAGATATATTCAAAAGTAAAATGCAAAATCAGATCCAGTCCCCAACCGCTTACTGAAAATTGCAGTTTCTACATTTTTCATCCCATTGTCATCTAAGGGTTGTCATGGGTCATTTCTAGTTGCTCTGGTTCAAATCTGCATTTTCATTATGTCTTCTCACTGCTATTTAGTGTTCATGATTGTTGTTGATGATGGATGCTAAACTTCTACCCATCTTTTCTACATAGTGGCTTTTACAGTCCTTTTATTGTATGTATGCTATATATGATTTTTTTTTTCTTCTTCTTGGGCTGTTGAGTCTCTTGGTTTACAAGTAGACCCCAATTTATGACAAAAAGTGGACCAGAATCTCAGTTGTTGAACAAAACTGTCATGAGATGTCATGACTACTTTGCTCAACAACTTCAATCCTGAGGGAAGTAAAGCAGACCTTGGGGTGTCCTGGGGGGAAAAAGCCTTGGGGCACATAAGCCTGGGCCTATGCTAGGCCTCCCAAGGCCTCTCCCACAGCTGAGGCATCCACGCTCTTCTTAACAACCGTATGATCATTTAACAACCGCATTAGAGAGAGCAGGGGATTGGGGTCATTGAGCAAGACAATCACATTGATCATCTTACTTAATGACTGTACAACTTCTGACAGTAATGGGCAAACTCCATCATGGTTACAGTCGAGGACTACCTAGTGTGTGTGTGTGTGTGTGTACATATTTGCAATGGTTGGAAGTGCCTTACTGGCCATAAAGTACCCTTTCTGAGGCTGTCATTATATTTGAATCATTGTTAAGCGAATGGTCATTAAGTCAAAGACTATCTTTACTTATGATGTATTAGAGGGCTTTAGTTGGTTTATATATTATTGTGATCCTGTGTGGTTATAATAGTCTGTTAATTGTTTCAAGAGATGTTTTTGGTGAAATTTTTATCTTTTCTGTAGTTTTAGTTGTACCATAAAGGGTCAAGTTGCCACACACTTTTTGAAAAATTGTGTGGTTATCCATTTTGTTCCTTTTTCTGGTATTCTAAGTTGCTGCTGTGCATTTGCAATCATCTACCCAGTTCCTTTTGAGGAAATCTGGATTGTTACTTTATTAACAGAGTTCTGGGTTAGTGTAGGTTGTTTTTCAACAGACTTACATTTCTAATGCGCTATCATTTCCCCTGCTGAGGATATCCAGGCAGAGTAGTGTTATTGTTTTCTCCTTACCTTGTGAATTTTATTCCTTTGAAGATATTGTGGATTGTTCCACACATCTTCTCTTCACTCTGTTCCTTTTTTATTTTGATGTCATCCGCATATTGGATCCAAACTTTTGGTTCTTTGTGTCGGAGTGCTAAATTTATAGGCACTGCATTATGATCTCTGTTATGAGTCAGGAGAATATTGAATCCATGAATGTTCCTCTGATTTGTATATTTCTTGGACCCTGATATTCTGAAGACAACTGCATTTGATAGAATATTCAGTCCCCTCTTTGAGCTATCAAGGTCTTTTTGTAAAAAAAATTTCAGAGTTTCATTTTGGGTAATGATACAATTGAATAAAGAGTATATCAGGCTTATGTATTTTGGGGTGCCCTTAGGAGCATGGGAGGCTGGAGCCACTGCTTTTCATTTGCCCCTGTACTTCTTTTGGGATTTGTAGACTATTTGGATTCATGTTATCTGTTTGGGAAGTTTAGTTTGAAATTTGTTTTCTTTCTTTCAGCTGGTCTTAGAAATGCAGTCTTGATGGTAGTTATCAGCATTTTTGTGTTTACTGAGGTCATGGTTTGTTCCAGTTGCTCCTTCAGGTTGTCTATGATGTACTAGATGGCATTACTATAAAACACAAACTAATTAAGTAGCCTAACAAGAATCATTTACAATATACAGTGTAAGTTCTGTAAAGCCAAATGTATGAGACAGGAGAAGACTAGCAGAGGGCATCCATGAAAATCAGCTAGTAGTGAGAAGACATAAAGAAAACTCCTTAATCTCATAATACATGGACAGCAAAGCCACCAAATACCCAGCATTGGCAGCAAAATCAGCTGTTCTTCAGCAAAAGAGAAAAACTGCCTGCCACAAAGCACACAATTTTGGGGGAAGTCCAAGAGGATTTACCTGTAGTTTCAGCTAGAAGCTTTTGACCATCCTAGAATAAACCAAATTCAAAAACGATAGGGAATTTCTGGAAGCTTGGCATTCAGACAAATCAGCCATCAGTTGAATCATAGAGATAAAATTTACACACTACTCAAAAGAGACTATAAAAAGCTAAGAAGGAAACAAAAAGACAAGAATATATTTACTCCAGCAGTCTACACCCAAAAAGTAGGAATGAACACCAAACAATCCAGCAGAATATAATACCCTAATTAAGCTGCTAACAAGGAGAAAACAATACCTGCAACAGTGGCCGGGCAAACTACTGTATAGAAATTGGTAGCACCCCCCCCCCACCATACACTGACATTGATACCAGTTGACTAGACAAGCAAAGAATGAAGCTCAGAGTATCAAGGATTCCACAGTTCAACACTGAACTATAGATATTCTCTTCTATCAGATCTCTTTCTGGAAATACCAAAATGAAGAAGTCGTATTTTCTAGTTTCCTATGCAGCAAGTTGATAGTGTTCTTTCATTTTTTTCAACATCTGCAATAATTAAATATTGATTTAATAGTGAATTTGTAGTCTAAAACCAGAGGTGGAAGCAATTTTCCCAGAACTGCCTTGGCTTAGAGTATCTGTTTCCGCTGCTTCTAGAGTTATTAACATCAAGATCTGCAAATAAACTGGAAACGTATCAGGAAGTACTTTTCAGAACTTCTGCCAGTTGGGAAAGAGTGATATACTGCTCTCCTAATGGAATATGCTACTGAAACATGTGCTTTATAACCAGTGAACACTTGCCATCAACAATGGTGATTTTATTTACATGCAGCCTTAGATTTGTAAGAAGAGGGAGGGAGGGAGCTGTAGCTACACAAAAAGATTATGGCACAAGTGATTTTTAACTTAGAAAAAAAAGACAAAAAGAGGATAAATGGTGTTAACATAAAAAAAATGGAGAAAATAAATACGTAACATTAATCTGGGATTATCTAATAAAACTGAAAAGTGGAAATTCCAGGATAAGCAAAAGCTGAACTTTTCATGAAAAATAAACTGTGAATCTCATTGCTACAAACAACAAAATAATTCTGTTGTGGATGATGACTACGGTTAACTATATTTTGAAGGAAGGGCGTTAAGTAGTTGCATATATACAATTGTTGATAAATGATGTGGGAAACGTGTGACAAAATATATTCATTTGGAAATCAAATGGTCTATACTTGTTATAGATATGTATGTGTCTATAACATGAGTTAGAATGTTTCCACTTGTATTGGTGTGATACTGACTACAACTCAAAGAATAGTAATAAAATCAGACACGAAAACTTTGTGTTATCAATTCAGTATACTTTATTTGAAGGTTTTGCATTTATTTTTACACTTCAATTTTAAAAAGTTTATAAAAGTAAAGCTGAGATGGGTGCCTAAAATATATGAAGACTTTCTTACAAAATGCTTTAAAACTAATTAAAAGAAAAAAAATAATATTCCTGATTTTGAAATGTTTCAACTATATGTATATGGTTTTTGACTTTGCAAACAGAAAAATATCCAGTTCCAGATCTGTATTAAATAAAAGACAGCAAATCTAAACATCTTCAATCTAATTTTGTATCAATAATTTATCTACATTGGAGTATTTGATTGCTTCCTTTACATACATCTAGTGTTAAAACTCAACTAAGGAAGGTTTGTTCTCCACAATCATTTAAAGGATTACGCTCTAAATATCTGCATTTTTGTGAGCATGAAAATAAACTGCAATATTGTTATATGCTAGGTATAATAAAAACCATGATATCAAGCATATCATAATATCAATTCATTATCATGAATTACACAATTTGAATCACTTGTTTACTGTCATGATGTGTGTGACATCACTTTCCCATTGCTTCCCCCATAATGTACATTTGTTACATCAAGAATCCTGCTTTAAAATTGACAGGAAGGTGAATACATTTGCATGTCTTCTTCAATCTTTTGCCTGTCAGTAGACTGTTTCCATGATGCAAAGATGTATGATAAACCACACATATGTATTATCATATTTCTGCACATCTTTTTTAACATTCAAATCTTTTATCAATTTTTCATAAAATCTCTATAATCAGCAGATTTGATGATACCTATTAATGAAAACACCTGTATGTGTGTATGTATGATCCAAGCAGCCCATCAGTAATTTTGTGATATACAATATTTCAAAAGTGGTAACATAAAATAAGTTCATATCTTGGCATAAATGTTACATGTTTCATACAGCACATTTCTACACTTGTTTAACAAAACTATCCTTGAAATAAATGTTCACAGAATTGCAGCATTGTCATGATTGCAGAACATACATATAATATAGCATGAATACATAGAATAACCGATGTAACAAATATTGAAAGAGCAGAATATATGCAGTTTGATCCATGATGTTTCTTTGCAAACTGATCTAACATCACCTAGTAGAATGAGAAACAGATTCTTTAAACAGCAATAACTAACACACTATATTACATTGATTTATGCAGCTTTGAAAAGGAACAATAGATTGATGATGCTCTTATCCAAAAAGCAGGATATGGCTGAAAAACAAAGTACAATCTTTTATCTCATGTAATGCTCCACTGAAAATGGTTTTCAGTTTAAGGAAACTTTTATTGCAGTTAGCCAAAAATCATAAATGAATTTTGACATAAAAGTGACTTGATTAGGACAGAACCATTCAGACTTTGTTTATTTAATATGCTGCCATCTCATTAAAATGAGTTCTAATGGCTTAATTCTAAGGGTTGTGTTTTATAGAACAGAGAAAACAATTCTAGATTAAACAGTATAATATACAAGGCCCATTGAATACAAACACCACATTTTTAAAGTATTAGCTGCTACAATTCTTCCTTATATCACGCTGAAGAGTTCAGATCCATTTTTAGAGTCTTGGAAGATTCTGCTCAGAAAGGTACGCTGAGTTTCTCCCATTCACTGCGCACTGTGTCAGTAGTAGTAATATTTGGGGTGGAACCACATCTTTTCAATTGAAGGCAATTGAATCTTTGGCTGGCTCTGCGATACATAATCACATTCTTTTGTGGATTGTTTTCATAGGCAAAGTTTCACTTGTTGATTTTTATAGCGGTGGTCATCCGTGTTATCTCCAGGCAATACTAACAACTTTTTTTTCAGCTTTGAGAATAATGTACTGATTCATCAAACTTTGTGGAAGGCTACAATTATATTACATTGCTTCAGTGGTGGGATTCAAATATGTGAACAACCGGTTCTCTATGTGGATGCCTCTTCCAGAAGTCCATTCTGGGCCTGGGCAACAAAAAATTAGCTACTGGTTCTGCCGAAGTGGTGCAAACTGGCTGAATTCCACCACTGCATTGCTTTCAATTTGGACTGGTGACATGGGAGCAGAGATAAAACAGTTAATGACCAGAATAAAATAATTATGGTGGATGCCAATATTTTTAAGACTATAATACTGCACACTGTTTTATAAACATCTATGTATCTCAGGTTTAAGCAGAATCTCTGAACATGTTGTGTCCCTGTTGAACTAGAGTTAAATGCAGGGACATTCAATTCATATTTTTTAAATCATCAATGATTCCTTTCTAATAATTAACACTAAATAAGCTTCATCAATATTCCACTTTCACCTCACCCCCTCCTTTTAATTATATAATAGGGAACAAAAAAAAATCTAAGACTTGATAAGAGCAAATCTTACCTTAATCCAATTTTTCTCTGAAAATGTATACACAAGCAGTGGTCTAATATTTATTGTAGTATAATTTGTTATTGAAATTAAAGTACAGATCATTCATGGAACGATACTTTTGAACTTCACATCAGTATAGGAAATCTGTTTTACTTTGTAGTTTAACAATTAGACTATTCTTTTATACTGCTTCTTCTGTTTTTTTCTCCTTGGCATCCCCATTCAACAAATGTAGAATTATTTAATCATTGTCACATGTTTTTATTTTTATATACAGAGTTATCAAAGCTAAAACTTATCAGAAATCATGGACTTATTTCTAAGAACTACAAAAAATAAAAAAATGAAGCTAATTAAATCTAACTAATTTCCCACAGCACCTTTTATATTGTACTGCTCTGTAAATTTTACTCTATTTAAACTTTTCAAGTTCATCTATGTTCTTTTCAAAAACAAGATCTAAAAGATACTACTGTATATCTAACAAGCTTTGTCTTTAAGTAGCAAAATGCAAATATTATATTATGCAGCTCGTTCAGGTCATGTATTTAAGATCCTGTCTATCTTTTAGTCTAATTAGATTAGCAGCTCACAATCTATAATGAACATTTTTGAAAAAATGAAAATAATAATGTAAGGTCTCCTGCACTTGCAATTTTAAGACTACATACTACATTTTATCCCAGCTCCAAGTAGCTGAGAGATCCATTTCAGTAACTTGTAACATACATCATTTTAAAAAGCAATCATTTACACTGCAGATATACAATAAGGTGGAAATAAATGTTGACCCTGTTAATTGGGTTTGAATGCTGTTGCATGTGTCTTTATTAAATCAGCCACTTACCAAGCAAGAACCTGAGACTGCAAATTTTTTTCTTGTAACTGTAAACACATTTACTCCCCAGTAAATCTCACTGGTTTAGATGAAAGGATTTCAAGAGAAATTCTATTTAAGGACACAATTCTCAATCTGTAACCATCTAATAAACTGCATTGTAATGATACTGTAGAAAAGTCAGCTGATTGAAAATACTCAGGAAAAAAAAAGCTGGAGGTCTAATTCTAGGCCTTGAAAGCTCAAACCAGCTGAACTAGAGAAATGGCATCATTAAGAGAATTCTATCAACATTTACATTAGTGGTGGGATTCAAATATGTGAACAACCGGTTCTCTGTGTGGATGCTGCTTCTGGGAGTCCATTCTGGGCCTGGGCAACAAAAAATTAGCTACCAGTTCTGCCAAAGTGATGCGAACTGGCTGAATCCCACCACTGATTGACACCATTAAGTGAATCAGCCAACTGTGTTAAATACTAGCACATTCCATCAGTTTTGGAATCACCCTGTTCTCATGGGAGTGCAGAAAACCTGGTATATCTAGAGTTGTTCTTTATTCATAATTGCAGTTGCAATTCACTGGAATATGATTTCTCAAGAATAATGCTGCTGTCACTTCCTCAAGTGAGGAAACAGCATCTATATATAACCTCTGAAGCACCCATGGCCTGGAATTATGTGCAGAATTTTCTCACTGTCTTGCCTGAGGAAGGCAGCACGGACTTCTCACTGGGTGAACATTAATGCCTTGCTGCTCAGAAAAGAGAAACAAGAGGCCTATGAATGCAGAGTTCCACCCAGGCTCAGCAACCTAATGATCAAGCCAGTTTATAAAATTCCCATTGATTACTCTAAAACTGACAACTTTCTTTAGGACTGTAGTTCAAATCAAAGTAAATATAATTTAACTTCAGACAGAAAACTGCTAATTATGTAAATTTGCATTTTCAAAATATTAAGGACATGAAATATGAATATGTAACAAAATAAAATAATGGCATGTGTATTGACTAAAACATATTTTGATACGACAGAATATATAGACATTTTTTGGCATCTCCAAAAAATGAATTTCAAGTTATAATGTTGAACCTATGGAATCTTACTGAGTGAAGTATTTAATCAATGAATGATCATATTCTTAGGAGGGCAAACTCAGCCTCAGAAACAACTTTTTTGCTCATATGGTGAGGCTATACAGCAGATGCACACAATTTGAAAGCTTTAGTAGAAGTCTCTCTGGACTGTAGGTACCCAAAAAGAAATAATTGTAAAAATATAATAAGCTGTTTTAGGTGACCTACTCCACTGATATATTACATCAGAATACACAAATAAGGTTCACATATTACTTGAATTAGCTCACACAAGTTGCTAAACCATAAACTATTATTTACAAAAAAAAATTGACGCTCATATAATATGCTATAACATAACCCAACAAATCATTTTATGGTTTAGCATAACATGAGGATATTCACTGTAAGCAGTTTGGAAAAGAAAATGCATACAGTATATTTTGGAAAAAGAGAGTGCTGATTTCTGATATTCACAAACCAGACATAGGCACCATAATAAGCCATAATGAGATCAATATTGTACACGCACTATTATAGGAATGATATAATTGTGTGCTTTCATCATAACTCACTCTAATATTCATTCTTTGATGACATAACACAAATTGTCATTTCTCCCTCATTGATCTCTCCACAGACACGCATGTAACTGGAAAAACTGGATTTTGAAAACATTAGCAATGGATAGGAGAAGCAATAGATCCTAAAATTCAAAGTTTGTGATGCACGATGCATACCCTTCAAAAATAGATGTCAGATAGGAAATTGTCAAGCTAAACCCACCTAAACTGGGGTTAAGAATATATGGTGCATGGCATCAGCAGCCAGAGGATTTGTCATTAGGATGAGGGTCTGAGAGAAAGGGCTTTATTTAGGCTTGGGAAGTCAACTTTAAATGGCGTGAGACAATTTAGACAGAAAAGGAGAAGATAGCATAATCATAATGTTCAAACATCATGCCCTGTTGCTAACTACTAGTTTTTCAATATTGGTACCTGCTTCTACTCAGGTTTACATTTCTGAAGTGAAACTAAATGTTCATTTTATTTTCTATGGCTTTGCATAATTTGCTGTTTCTCTTATGTTCTTCCTGACTCCCAGTTAGCTTCATTTGCCTATATTTCTTCAAGATTTTTAGGTTTGAGCCCTGCTATTTCATCAAACCTGTTTGTTCTGCTACCAATCTCTAGTATTGCTTTTTTCTGATTCAGATCATTCTATCTTGAATCTCCCAAAACTCCACTACAATTTTAGTCTAATTGTGATTTCAGTAGTACTTTCATTTTTCTATAGGCTTTTAACTGAAAACATGCTCCTTATATGTAAAAGGAAAAGAAACCCTGCACAAGTAATTAGGTAATTCACTGCAAGTTCTTCATGAATTTTCTGCACAGTACATAATGAAAAAAATATAAAGGGGAATATATATGAGTATGTACATTATCAAACATTCCAGTCTTGAACCTAGTACTTGAAAGGGCCATTGATTTCAATAGATGAAATGTCCACTTGGCAACGGGAGGACTGAAATATTTATATGAATGCAGCAGCATAAACAGTGAATGACCAGTTTTGAACAAAAGTCCAAATTATGTTGACTGAAGGCAAAATACCTGTTTTATTAACTCTGCTTTTTGCCAGCTACTGGAATGACTTAAATATGTTCATCAAAATGGAAGCAGGCACCAGACCTCTGAGCATGGCCTAGAAATTTGCAATTCTAATTTTTATATACTAAAATTCCACTAGAATTTAGCAACTAGATAAGCAAACAGGCTGCACATTTGAAAAAGCAATAAAATAATCTTATCCCTGCAAGATCCTTTCAGAACGTACATTGAAACTATCAAAAGCTTTTCTTTGCTAAATATACAACTGGCTGGCTATACTAATTTTTGACAATATAATTAGCAATATTATGAACACAAAATGCTGAATATCCACAGAAGGAAACAAATTGCTGGATGAAAGTCAGTATTTATCTTTCAAACCAGTCTTCTAAATAAGGCTCTAGAGATTACTAATCTGCAAAAAAAAAAAAAAAAAAAAAAAGTTTATTAGCTTTTGGTGAGCTGACAGAGGAGATTTAAGCTTTGAGTGACTTCCAGCAGCTACTGCTTTTCCTGCTTGGTTTCTATACTGGAAAAAGAAGGGTGATAGCATATTTCCATTCTCTTACCTACCTACAGTTCTCTCATCTACATGCTATTTCCTGTTCCTAATTAATCAGACGGATGCTTAAATTTAAGAGTATGCTGAAGTCTCCTTCAGTATAGTTGAAATTTCTGCAGACCAACATCCACTGTTTTCTGAAATCCTGACTCTTACTCACTTCATTTAGTTTGTTATTTCCATGTGTTCTGCAACTAAAATTATATCTATATGTTAATTAAGTGAAATATAATGAATAAAAGATAGTTTATGATGATTTAATTAAATATGTGTGGTTAATCTATCCTGACATCATGTAAGGTAGAAAATTTCTAAACTAGAAATTTTAGAAATGCTAGCAAATCTCATTAAAAGAGCACTAGCTAAAAGCTTTTTAAAAACACTGTAAATTTGCTTAACTTTTTCAAACTCAATATGTTGTGTATTGGATTATATTACTGGATGAATTTATATGTAATATGATAAAATATATAAGCTATAAAATAGATACTGTTAATTGCAAAGATACCTGAGATTGTATCTTTCTGGATTATCCTACATTTTAAAGTAATTGTAATTTCTAGCAGCCAAGAAATCTGTACAATGTAACATGTGAATAATGTATGCGTATTTTATATAAACAAGTAACAAAATATATACATGAGTAGATAACTTTTAGGAATAGGAATAGTCATGTGAAAATGGCTGACAGCAAGCAGAACCAGCTTGAAATATATCGCTATCCAAGAGGCTATAATAAAAGGTACTAAAGATAAACTTCAATGTAATATCTTGCAATAGAATCGAAAATGCTAGAACCCATTACATGTTATCTTAGACTGGAAACTTTGAATTGCATTATTTTGGCTATGTAAGCATACATTCAGGCCAAATCAAGAAAGCAGAATAATGTTAAATACAGTGGTATATTCAATGTCCCCACATTCCTGTTAGAAATGAGACTAGCTAACTGAAACAATTCTCATAAACAAGACAAACATTTTATGGTGTGCTGGTGAACAGTGTAGCTGGTGTAGGCTGCAATACACACACAATACACAAAACACTCCTATCATGCTGCAAGAAGATTTTGCCAGAAGATTTTTTTCTCAGCATCCGATCTATTGCTCTTTAGACCAATCCAAAGAGCTATAAATTGTGGACTCCAAATGTGCAGCAAGGTTTTGAGTCACTTCTACCTCAAAACTTCTCAGAGGGTCTTCTGTCACAGCCTAAGGAATTGTGGTCAGAAATGAAAAAGTGAAAAATTCTGCTGGAAACTGCAAGCCCCTCTGAGTTTTAAGGCAAGTCCTTTGGATCAGAGCCAAGGAACTGAACTGGAGGCAGGACAGATTCTTCTGCAGGTATTCCCTGAGCTAAGTCTATGCCAAACCTAAACGAACAGATATACATAAAGTTGAAAAATTTCTATTGCACATAGTTGGAGCAAGAATAGCAGAACAAACATTTGCATATTTTTAAAGATAGTATCTTGAAACTAAGAGAAGCAATTAGATGTTCAGCTTAGATCTGTATGATATAGATGCAGTAACTAGGATTCATCAAGGAGGGTAGAAACATATCTAAAGAAGAACAGAGGATACTATATTTAACCATATTCAACTATTAATTTATCTAGTCTATACTATTTGTGTTAAAGTTAAATCAACTATTCAAAGTTCAAGGTTTGTCCTTTCTAACCAGTGATGGGATTCAAATACCCAAAGAACTGGTTCTTTGTGTAGATGCCACTTCCAGAAGTCCATTCTCAGCTGGGGAGACCTCCCAGGCCCAGAATGGCCACCAAATGCGTGGATGCTACTTCCAGAAGTCTGTTCTGAGCCTTGGAGGCCTGGGGGAAGCCTCCCAGGCTCAGAACAGACTTCTGGAAGTGGCGTCCACATACTTCTGGTGGTCCATTCTGAGCCTTGTGAAAAAGGGCTAGGCCATCAGCTGGTTTGCCAAAGTCAACAAAAAATTAGCTACCGGTTCTACCAAACCAGTGCGAACTGGCTGAATCCCACCACTGTTTATAACTATCTATCAGAAATATAATATTGGATTTTCAACATGCAAAGCATATGTTCTGCCTTTTAACAAGTTGTTCTTCAGTATTTCTTTTGGTCAGCTTCAATGCATCTCCACAATGTAAAAATTGGAAATATAATAGGCTATTTGAACTGCTCATATTTGTGAAGTATGACATACCATACTGTTGCTTAGTCTGAAATAATCTCATTGATATTCCCATAAAACACTAAATTCTTTTAAATTCATTCAGGATTACAATAGTTGTAACTTAAAACCAATGATCATGGGGTTACTCTACAGAAGTTCAAGATAAATGCAAAATGTCAGCATAGCAGAATTTCTATTTCTAGAAAATGATTTGAAATAGGTATGCAAATTGTGAGAAACCTCCATAGCAGGGCATTTTGTTTAGTAATTTAGACAATTGTAGGCTCAACACAACCAAAGGGCATTAGACTGGTAAAACCAATAACAAAGGGATATTCACATGAACCTTCCTGTGTCCCACTGAGAACAAAGTATTGAGAATATACCACCTAGGAAAACAAATCAAATGCAATCCTGAATTTTTAGATACATGCACTTTTTCATCCCTTATATAAGGGACAAATGAATGAGTATTATACAGGAAAATATTGGGGACTTATTCCAGGAATTAACATTCAAAGTATAAACAAATGATTGATACAACTCAATAAACAGAAAAGAATTAGATAGCAGAGCAACAATTATAATAGATAAGAGTATAATCCATTGATTAGTTCCAATAGCACCTGTATCTTCTGATTTGTTGCAACCATTAATATATTGGCACTGGAGCTATATTAGAGTCACACTAAGACAACCAAAAGAGAAGTGGATTAAGAATATTTCATCAAACCATGCTACAAAAATAAATTTTCTTTTTAAAATTCTATTTTTTTTACAAAAACTCTAAAACATACAGACATATAATGCAAGATTTAAAATATTTGTGCTAACATATCCATGTGACTTATTCATGAAGTTGGCTTTTTGATAAAGCAAATGTGAAAGGCAAAGTAGGGCAGAGCAATGTCAACAAGTACGGTTTTCTAATATTTTCATATAGAAAAATAAAATCTATTGAATTATATAAACTGTCAGACTGGAAGCAAACTTGAAGCAAATGTGAAGGTGCCTAAGTTAATTGCAATCATGACATACAGGCTTGAATGTCAGCTATGAGCACCTATTTTCTCATTGCATAATCCAATGCATGTTTAAGTAGAAGTGAGTTTCAGTAAATTAGATTCATATTTACACTGCCATACAGTACTTTCATTATTATCCCTGTGGATTTTACTCATACTTTATTGTTCCAGAGATTTCAAAAGACCAGCTTTTTATATATCTGCAGTTGAATATAGCACATTTTGTTCAGAATAATTTACTCTCAAGAGAAAAACGCACAGGACTGCAGATTTTTTTTATGTTTGTGTGTATGTACTCTGCAGAATGGGATTCAATGGGGGTTTAGTCTCAAATAAGTGGGAATAGTTTATAACTTATTACAGATTCAATTCTATACACAGCTCACTAAATCTGACAGGGCTTATTTTGGAGAAGATATTTTCAGGTTGCCATTTTAGTTTATGTACACATTGTACATATGTGGGTAAGCAAAATTAGGTGTATATATGAACACTTAATTTTTTCTTATTTCATCCTTGAATCTGAAAATGATAAAACTGAAATTCATAATTTCCAAAGTCATAGAAGTGTACCACCAGAACAGATAAAGATGAAATGTTGTGCAGTGACTGACATAAATTTAGAATGATCCGTGCAAATTAATTTCTTTAAAACCATCTGTTCCTTTTACCAAATGTATATTATTAATATTTGAAGATTAAGTCACAGACACAATAAAATGTTATCATCTTCCATCTCTTATTAAGGTGGATTATAATAGCCAGATGTATCTTTTACATTTTTCTCTTAACTTTAGGGTAGAGATTCAAATGTCACTCTTTTAAATATTACTTCAAAAATATTTCTGAATTCATGATCAAGAAAATAAACAGCAAAACAAACTACACCATAACTCCCAGAGGAGCATCAAGTCAAACTTCAGCACCCAGAAACAGAAATCAAGTCATATTTTGGTAGACAGACTGAATTCTTCTAATCCAAGGTGGCACCATTCAACACTAGAAGAAAAAGGCAGCAAAACTGATCAACAGCTTCTCTCATTCTGTAGATTTCCAGATAGACTAACAAACAACAAACTACAGTGGAACTCATTTAAAGTTTTTGTATCTTGCATTGCTTCATTGTCAAAACATGCCTAACTAGGTTCTTTTCCTTGGAGAGGCAGAGCATCATTTTGAAGAACTACACAATTATGTGAAGTATTCAGTAAAGTTTTCAAACATGCAATGATGCCTTTTACCTTTAACAGTGATCTTATCAAACTACTTTGTTCATCCTTAGATTAGCCTGATAAAGCCTTACAGTGAATTCATCTCTGTGGAGTTTTGACTGGAGGACACATCAGAATCTGTATTCTCTTTGCATTTCTCCAAGTCATGAAAATAAGGATGGGTTAAGGCATCATAAGCTGATATTCTCTTCATAGGATTGAATGCCAAACATTTCTGTATAAGATAGAGAAAATAATTAGTAGCGGGCAACACTCTGACTGATCCAGCAACACACTTTTTCTACTGCTGGCCAAAAAACTTAGCAAGAAAAGGCAAGGATTTATTAGATAATGATCTTTTTAAGATATAGTCCAAGTTTTTGTCTATGTTGTCATCAGCACTGCTTTTAAGAGGAGCAGCATGTAATTAATCTTGAGTTATTGAAAAAAGCTATGCAGAATCAAGTCCAGGTAATACTTGAAAGAGAGACCAATAGAAAACCACAGAATTTTAGATTAGAATGGAAAATTAGTGAGAAAAATCAACAGTAACCTGTTTGAATACAAGTAGTTTTCAATTTTCAATCATTCATTTAACAACTGTTTGATGTTACAATGTGCTGAGAATAGTGACAATCAGTCCTCACACTTGCAACCATCACAGTATCTCTATGGTCATGTGACCAAAATCCAGGTGCTTGGCAACTGGCATGTATTTACAACAGTTGAAATGTCTTGGGTTCACATGATTGTCATTTATGATCTTCCCAGGGGGCTTCCGACAAAGTCAGTAGGGAAAGCCAGATTCACTTAACAATCATGAGATTCCCTTAATGACTGGAGCAATAAAGTCATAAAATTGGGACCAATTTATTTAACAATCATCACTTAGCTATGAAAGTTTCAATCCCAATTGTGATTGCAAATCAAAGACTACCTATACTATTATCAAGAAAACTACAGACTCACTAGGAGTCAAATTCATCTTGAAGATGACTATACTTCATCATTAACACTATTAATAAATGTACTAAGTAAAATCCCAAACAATGCCACATCAATTCTGAAGTATTAAGTATTATTATTCTACCAAGAAAGAGATATATATTCTACAATGAAAATTCTATGGGATACATTTCATTTGCTCACCAGTTTCTTAGATGATTAATATATATGTGCTGCATGAGTAACATTTAGTTTCATGCACTATTGTATATAGTACAGTTATTACACAGATTATTAAATTACTATAAATTCTGATTTGATTGATATGATCTCACTTCTCATAAGTATTGCAATTATTCTATCTCAGATTTTTTTTGTTAATATGTATAATTTGATCTGTGAAAAAGAAAATTATTTTGCTGCTAGACTTGTTGAATGAATTACAGAGGTAAAATCATGGTGCCATTAATAAAGTATCTAAATACTGTTAAATTATTTCAAATAATTTAACAGTATTTAATAATAAGAGCCGAGGTGGCGCAGCAGTTAGAGTGCAGTACTGCAGGCCACTTTAGCTGATTGTGTTCAGCAGGTCAGCGGTTCAAATCTCACCGGCTCAAGGTTGACTCAGCCTTCCATCCTTCCGGGGTAGGTAAAATGAGGACCCAGATTGTTGGGGGCAATGTAAATAAATATATACATTGCTTACTGGTGTACACCGCTTAGAGAGTGCTTGCACTTAAAGCGGTATATAAGTCTCATAAATAAATAAATAAATGGAACATGTCCGCTTTTAAAGTATTTCTTAGGAAAACCAGACATCAAAAAAGTATTCCTTCATTTATATTAACAGAAACCAATGCAGTAGCAGCCCAAGATATGACATCAAAATGGCACACTGGGAGCCTGGTTATAGTCAATATGATGCAAATTATTTAAGAATGCCAAGAGAGAACATTCAGTTACTGATAGGAATTATTCTGGCTAACATTCTCCTTCTTCTCCAAACCCTAATACAGTGGACTGTTATTGAGGGTGAAGAAAAATTTCAGAGGAGGTCTCAAAATTTATATTTAAGGATATTTGTTGCTATATCCCAAGCACTTTTAGCCTTTATTTGACACAGAAGACTTCTTTCTCAGCTCAGTAGCAGACAATTATATATATTGTTGACGTTTTTGTTCCACGATAGGCTACTTATTTCTAAAAATTTACTATTACAGATACTTACAATTAGCAAGTCTTTGCCCAGTTCATCAATATCTGTTACAAGAAGTTCAATGGGCTGTGGGGATTGAGAGGCAAAAGCATTCCTTGGGAGGGCAACATCAATAGGCCAATCTTCTTCTTCAGGAAGACCAATTACTCTGCACAGAAGACAAAAACAAGCACTTATTCCAAGTGAAACATTAGTTCTTACAATGTTTGTTTCAGTATCTGATGATGATTCTCAGTTATGAATTTTCATTCACTTATTTAAGAGGTTTTAATATAAAATTGTAAAAGCACCTACATTAAATCCTTTCTTTTTAAATGACAACTGCAATAATAAAAACTCAATTAGAAAGCAAACAAAATAGACTGTTTTAGAGCAGGGGGTCCCTAACTCCCTGTCTGTAGACTGTTACCATTCCTCAGCCTGTTGGCAACCTGGTGACACAAGTGACAGGTGAACGAGGGAAGCTCCATTTGCGCAACTTGCATGTGCACGCAAAACCATCCCCTTCCCCCCACTGATGGTTGCTGAAACCGGAGAGTTTGGGGACCAATGCTTTAGAGTATTCATAAAAGTGTCACAAATGGTGCCAGCATTACACATTTTGGAAATGAGTTCTGTGGAACTAGAGTTACCAATAAGAGAATCTTAACTTAAATGTCTCCCTAACTCTGATGTTAATGTTGAGTTAGTCAATTCCCCAAAGATGATCTCATAGCATAGATGGGTTTGGAATTGGGCTGATGCCCTTTAAATAGTTTAGGAAGAAATATTTGTCTCATGTCCAAATTATCTATATATGCTTCCCTGGAATGTTAAATTATTCTTTATGTTAAACTTTTTATTAGAAAATCAGTTTGAAGATTTGAAATAGGAGTATCCGTAGTTTCTCATAAATGCAAAGAAACATTAGTGTGGTTAACACCATCAATATTAAACAATATTCAATGTACAGTAATTGGGATTGGTAAAGTAATAATGGAAAAAGAGAAACTGAAATGTTTGTGCTCATTCATATAATTAAAAATTTGATTGAGGTGGCAACTGAGAATTTAAAGAACAACTCAAAAGCTTTATAAAAGGTTCTGAAAAAATGAAAAACAAACATGGCATCTATCAGATGGAAAAGTTAGCTACTTAGTTCTCATTTTTAAATGCAATACATAGACTTTATAGTATCAATTAATATAGTTATGTCAGATGGTTTGGAATTAAAAACCTGTGCCACCAGGGTGCAGCATCCCCCAGATTTTAACAATTTTTTTGCTATGAAATGTATTGATGGTATTGTGAAGACACTATCAGTGGAAGGTTTGTCATTTGGCAGACAATGTGCCAATTTTGACTACCGAAGAGCCACATGAAGCTTCACTGATCGTTGTCAGTACTGAAAGAAGACTGCAGGATAAGCAGGAGATCTGCTTCTTTGAACCACACAATACTTTCTCTAGAAAGCTCTCTGGAAATAAATTAGCATTGCCATCTACTTTCCTTTTTATAGCTAGCTTTACTGTAAGAAATTTGTTTATGTCAATGAAATAAAAGATTGAATACTTTACAAAATTTCACTTATAAAATTTTAGATCTTAAGTTCAAACTACTACAGTACATAGCACAGCAGAGATACTGCCATTAGATTTTTACACAGTGCATTTATAATTTATATACACTGAATATCCTTAGATCCAAGAACATTCATTTTTATTGCATGACGGCCTTGGAATATAGTACTTTGCTTCTATAAACCAGAGCTCACTAACCTTTCTTGGTTAGCAGGCAGGAAAAAAAGGAGGGGGAAAGCATTTTACGCATGGGGCTGCAAGTATGTGTGCGACACAAACAGGGCAGGGCTAGCACTTGCGTGATACTCACTAGCCCTGCCCCGTTCTTGTGCACAGTGCCCTGTTCTGTGCTTTGAGGCGTGGCATTGGCCCATTTTTGCACCACGCAGCATCCTGTTTTTGTGCCTTGTGGTCCAGCAGTGGCTCATTTTTGTGTCCTGCAACGCAGTGGCATCCCATTTTTATGCCCTGCAGCGGCAGCTCTTTTGCACCCCGCAGTGCGGCAGTGTTCCATTTTTGCACCCTGTGGTGATCCATTTTTGCACCCTGCAGCTACACTAACACAAGTAGGGGTGTGTGCGCGCACATGCACAAACTGGCTAGCCTATCCTGCGGTCCGGTGGCCAGCAGTCCATGGCCCACTACCGGGCTGTGGCCCATAGGTTGGGGACCCCTGCTATAAACCATCCAAAATAAATTAAACAAATGAATTTGAATCTGAATTATATATCAATTGGGCACTCTCCAATTGGACTGAATTATAAGTCTCATCACTCCCAATCACTGGCATGAAAGAAGTTGCAACCTATATACCTGGAAATGCTGACCTGAACAAGAATAGTTGGATAAAAATAATGAAAATGGTGATAAACTTTATATTATATCAACTGTAAAAAAGAAGGTACATTCTTTTCTGCATTATATACTGTTTACATGGCTTCATGTACGATAAGTATTCCCTTTATTAGCATATTCCAATATGTAGAAATTGTGATGAAATCCATCTTAAAATATATGTAACATTTTTATTAAAAGAATTACTATGGGGTACAGCGGAAACATTTGTACATAAGAAAAATCACTATAAACTTTAGAAAGCTACAAATATTGCATTTTTTTCTTGCAAGAAATCTGTATAATAAAAAATACTCAAATTGGCATTTGCTTTTCCTGATTATTAAATAAATTCTTTCCTGTGCAGGTTGTTGCATCGAACATAAACACACAAAGCAGGTATATTCCTGCTAACATTCTTGCCCTGGACATTTACTGACCAGAAATATCATAATGTGTCATTTTATTAACAAAAAACAAATCAAATCAGCAAGACTACATGCTTCTTGTATTATAAGAATAAATGCACTGATGCTAGATACAAATGAACTACGATACCAGATTCTAGAAAACCAAACCACTTGAGCCTGACTTTTAAAAAAAAAAACATTGCACAGGAAAAACTATTTGGTGCATGACAATTTAATCACATTGATGATTCACATACAATGGTGTAAAATACAGGAAGTGGAAGCCAAAACCAACAATGGAACATATTCAATTCAAAATAAAATTATCTAGGAAATGTGTCTGTGTGTGTGTGTGTGTGTGTGTGTGTACACATACATGCATACACACCACCTTTACTATTTGTATAAATAATGCAAGGCAACAAAAATATCAAAGAAACCTTCCTCTTCCTGTTTCCCCAACAACAACAATCTGGTGAGGTAATTTGGATTGAAAGAAAGTGACTGGCCCAAAATCACCCAGCTAACTTTCATGGCTAAGGAGTCTTTCATGGCTAAGGTCTCCTGCTTTCTAGGCTAGTGCCTTTCTAGCCATTAGCCCAAACAAGTGTTTCCTTTTTGCTGCTTTTTTTTAAAGTAGAAAAAAGCTTCCCAAATGAATCAATCTAGTCTTGACTCAGAAGGAATGATGCCTATAAAGAGGAGATAGGCAGACAGACATGTTTTTTTATATAATATTTTATTGATTTTCTAATTTTAAAGTTAAACATTTAAAAAGCAACATGGTGACTGGGTAATCAGTGATTCCATGACATACATAAATCTTTAGCACAAATCTCAAGTTACAACATCAGATATTTCTTCTCTTTATCCCTTAATATCTACTAACTTATATTGAATTAATATAATTTTTATTGTTACCAACTAAGTAAAACCATCTTTGTTACATTTATCAATAATTTTGAATTTATACATATCTTAATTGTGTTTACATTCAATCTTATATACATTAATATCCTGTTGTAAAGCCTTTTCCCCCAAGCTTTAATTTCCCCTCAATATTCAACTTAACATTTGGTATGTTATAGTTTCTAAGCTTCAGGTAACTAGAGTTTCCCTTATCTCAACTTGTACATTTCCCCCCTTTTATAACAAAATCTAATATTCTAAATATACATCTTATCTATTTCCATATAATCTTATTCTATTTTCTAAAAATTCTTTTTTTTTCATCATATTAAACCAAAAATCTATTAATCTTATTACAAATCTTACCTATTCAGTTATAATATTACTTTATTTTTTAAAAAACTTATCTATATTCAACCATCTTCAACCTTCTAATCAATAGTATTAAATCCCCCCTAATAAATCAAAACCCTAGTTTTTTTCAGCCTTACTCTGGCTTTTTTCCTTTGCCAACTAACCATCCATGTCAGTACTTTTAATTCATCAAACAGTTCTCCCTTTATTATTGTGTGTATTATTTGAGTTAGGAAAAACCATTTAATTACAACTTTTTTTGGAAGAATTAGCCTTATTATATTTCTTTGATCGCCTCCCCATTATTCCAGTTCCCCAAAGTTGTCCTAATAAGTTTATCTTTCATTCAGTCTGTTCTTCTTCCTTTTCCTCAAGTTTCTTCTGATTTATGAAAAAAAATATTTTCCATTTTCAATGTTGTCACTCTCTTTTCTAATTTCCCCGTTGGCTGGATTTGTTGGGTCCTCTGTCTTAATATTTAGTTGTTCAATTTCTCCTGTTGCTTTCTGCATTGTTGGATCTTTGGTTGTAGTCAAAATCTGGGTCTGTATATTTAAGCTGGCATCTTGTTCCTTTATGTTGCCTCTTATTTTGTTACATGCTGAAAGATTGGTTTCATGTATTGATTTCAATATAGAAAGGATTTTTTCCTGATCTTCATCCATATTCTCTTGATAATGTATTAAATTAAGGATTTTAAAATCAAATGTTAAAAATAGTTTTTGTAGCTAGATGTGTGACAGATAGTCTTATAGTGAAAACTGTTTGGCAGGTACGAATTTATAGTCCAAAGTATTCCATCATCTTATGTAGTAACAAAGACTTCTCATGTAAAGAAATAGGAAAACAATTTCCCACATATAAATCTGAAAGTCAGTAAAAGTTTATCTTCATAGTTCAAACAGGCCATATAAACGGCCTTGCAGTTCCTTCTTTACAGCTATGTTTCTCACAGGTGGTATGTCAAGGTTGAGAGGGTTTTTTCTAATTTCTGGTTTCTTGTTATTCTAGTCAATAACAAATTGTAATAGCATCCTTTGCCACAAGATGTCACCAATGCCATTTAACACTTTTTAAATCCCGAGTTTTAATAACAGTTTTTCAAGGTTTATTTCTTTTCTTTTTAAATAAAAGCCAGTATCTCCAGTAAGAACAGGAAAACTTTTAGTTTCCAAAATTCAAAGGTATATGCATCCAATTAAATTAGAATTGTTCTTATAGTTGCTCTTTTCCCCTAGGTCAGTGATGGCGAACTTTTTAGAGACTGAGTGCCCAAACTGCAAACCAAAACCCACTTATGTATTGTCGGGTGACAGGTGGGCATGGCCCACTGGGTAGGCATGGCTGCAGTGGTCACTGCAGACTGGGTGGGTGTGGTCAGGGTGGGCATGGCCACCTCAATGTTGCTCATGGGGAGGGACGCCTATGGGGGCCAGGGAGGGTTGGGGGTGATCCAGGGGGTCTTTGGCGGGTAGGATGGTGGGCAGGAGGCTTGTCCTGCGGGGTGAGGCAAGATGAGGCAGGGTAAGGGTGCCATTGCCTCAGGCAAGGCGAGGCAGGGGCCAGGGCAGCTGCTGCCTGACACCATCGGCCCCCACACACAGCGAGCACATGGGGGCCAACTGTGTCCATCAGCAGCCACAGCCTGCTAGCTCCTCGATTTTGGTGCAACATGGCTGTTTGACACTTCGCGTGTCGCACCCAATGTGGCTGCCATGAGGCCATGGAACAAGCCGGGTGGAGGTAAGGAACCAGTATACCAGTTTCTTACTCCTGCCTGGCTTGTTCCGTTGCCTCATAGTAGCGGCACTGGGCAGGAGGCAGCAAACAGCAGGTTTCAGTGTGACACGGCTGTTTGCCACCTTGTGTATTGTGCCCAATGCTGCTGCAATGCAGCTCAGCCGAAAGCAGCCATGGAACAAATGGGGCAGGTTTCCCCCTCACCTATGCATTCAGAAGTTGGAACTGATTGACTTTTTTTCCTCCAAAAAACGTTGTTTCCTTGCACGCGGCTGCGGAGCGGCAAAGGAGAAACAGTATGGGGCTGGAAATCAGGTAAGGAAAGAAAGGCAATTTCTGGGGGGAGCGAGGATTTCTTTCCTTACCTGCTCCACTTGTTCTGAGGCCGCTTTCTGCTCAGACGTGTTGCTCTTGCCAATGGCCCGACCAGCCACTCCCTCCCTGAGCCTCTGGCGCTCCACCTGCTGCTTTGGTTGGCCTGTGGGTCCCCACAACAGCCTGCCTACCGCCAGCCAGCACGGCTGCCCTGGGGCTGCAGGGGCTGGCCTAGCATGGGAAGGGCACAACCCCCACCCTCTTGCCACCATGCAGGGTGGCGCACCCACTCCCACCCAGATGCCCTCGCCTCCCCCAAGTGTTTTTTTTTTATTAACCTGCCTTTCAGCTGCATTCCATTTCTCCGTTCGCTTATCCGCGTTCGCCATGTGTTTATGGGACTATGGGCTAAAAAAAAGTTCCATCAGACTTCTTGAGATCTCGCGACAAGTTAGAAAGTCTGATGGAACTTTTTTTTTAACTGACAGTCCCATAAACACATGGCAAAGGCTGAGAATGGAGAAACTGAAAAGCAGGTTAGTAAAAAAACGCTTGAGGCAAGGTGGGCACAGCAACCTTACCCTGCGTGGGTATTGATGCAGGTTGCTTATGGATGGGACTGAAAGCCTAGGTCTGGGGTGACGGCATGCATGCCCACAGAGAGGACTCTGCATACCACCTGTGGCATGCGTGCATAAGGTTCGCCACCATGGCCCTAGGTCAGGGGTAGGCAACCCAAAACACTCAAAGAGCCACTTGGACCCGTTTCCCACCAAAAACAAAACACTGGGAGCCGCAAAACCCTTTTGATATCTAAAATGAAGATAACACTGCATATATCCTTTTTTACCTTTATTATAGGTGTGTGTATGTGTATGTGTATATGTGTATACACACACACACACACACACACACACATATACACATTAAAAATAAAAGTAAAAATATGACTCTTGGGAATATCCATACTATTAAAACAATGATCACCAAGAGAATGCTTTAAGAGAATAAAATTACATACACACAGAGGTAAAAAAAAAGGATATATGCAGTGTTATCTTCATTTTAGATGTCAAAAGGGTCTCTCTCTCCCTCCCTCTCTATCTGCCCTTGGTCTGCCACTCCTCTTCCCCCACTCTCTCTCTCTCCCTCTCTCTCTCTTTCTCGCTCTCTCTTTCTCCCCCCCTCCTATCTGCTGCTCACCTGGCAAGCTTCAAGCTGTTGTCCAACAACCTCCGGGTAGGCAACCTCGTCTCTTTTATGACTCATGGACTTCAACTCCCAGAATTCCTGAGTCAGCCTAGCTGGGCTAGCTAGCTCTCTCCTGCCCTTCCTGCTTCCTTCACAAACGCAGCAAAGGGAGGAGCTCCGCCCAGAAAGCTTTTCAGCTCCTCGGAGAACACTGTGAGTGCACTCTCTTTTACACACACACACACACACACACACAACACACACACACACACACACAAAAAACACACACACACACACAAAAAAAAACACACACACACACACAGAGAGAGAGAAGCAGGGAAGTGCAATTGCCTCTCTCTGTCTCTGTCTCTCTCTGCAAAGGCAGAGGAGGCTGGGAGCCACAGGGGAAGGCTCAAAGAGCCGCATGCGGCTCCGGAGCTGCAGGTTGCCGACCTGTGCCCTAGGTAGTCAATCGCTGCTGTTCTTAGAGGCTGGGGTAAGAATTCCCTTCCCTCTTTCCTCACAGGGCGAGAAATACTTTGGGCAGCTTTTGCAGGAAAAGTATTTAAAGTCTTACAGAGAAGATCAGATCTCAGCTAGTTTAATCCGTGTTGCTTTAAAGGTGCTTGGTTGTAGTTTTGACTTTGGCTGTCAGCAGCTTAATGACGAGCCATATTGCTATGGCTGCTCTTTTCCCCGCCGGTTTGGAGAGCTGCCCCAGAGCAAGCAGAAGAGCTTCCGCCCTTCCGTGATTAAGGGGGGTCATCTCCTTGCTCGTTTCCCCTACAGGGTGACTGTTGACCCTTTCCAGGGTCCCTCACAGTGGGATAAAACTGGACACTGAAGACGGAGCTCACCTCCATGCATCCGTCAGCACTGTGATGGCAAACCGGAAGTCCCAGCAGATAGACATGTTTTATCCAATATGCTACTCAGTTTAATTATAAATATGTCAAATAAATAAATATACTTTTTGTCTAGCAAACATAGAAAATTTAATATATTCAAATATGAAAAAGCAAAAAGCAAAGTTAGGAAGACTATAAAGGTGAATTTTTCTTTCCTTCACTCCTTTTCGCTTTATGCCATCTTCCCAGATGCCACCTTGCTCTAATCCGACAATGGAATCCATATGTAAAAGCGAACCTCTGCATGCATATCATTTATTTGACCAGAAACCACAATACTTAATTGAATATACTATCATATTCACAGCATTGCTTAATGTATATTGGTATACAGATGAAAATCTGAATGCAGTGTAGAATTGATTTATATTTGAGTTTCTTGATACAACACAATATAAATGAACCAATTTACAATGGAATACTTAGCTTCACCAGGCGAGGTGTTTTGTTTTAGTTATTAAATTTATATGCCACTTACTTCGTTATCCAAAGAGAGTTTGGTAAGATACCAATTGTCCTTATGATGACAATGTAAGGCAAGCAGAGCCTGAATATTGGAGTATTGTTAGATTTTATCTTAATACTGCCAGTTCAAAAGTAGTGGTTATCTTTCTATTAGAAATGCTCAGACTGTAGGATTCACTAGTTCTCTGATAGGAAAACACCTAAGACCCAGAAAAGGGTGGCATTTTAGCCTTCTTGCCCCTCCACTTCCTGAAACCCTTAGGAAAGACGGAGCTATTTGGCCCAGATGGAACAAATAAATGTCAACAACTACCCAATACAGCATGGAATCATAACTAGACGATTGATCGATTGATTGATTTTGGAACTGAAAAAAGTATAAGCAATAAGATTATCCATAGACATTTTTGAAATTATGAAGAATCCCTAAGAATATGCATAACTTTTAATATTTGTAGGATTCGACACTTCAGCAAGGCTGGCAGAAGATATACTTTAAAAACTAAAACTTATAAAAAGTTAAACAAAACAGTAAAGTTTGGTGACCTCCATATACTCAGACTTGATACAAAATCTTGTTGAAGAAAACTTGAGAGGAGAAGATCTAATTTTCTCCACTAAAGGATGCAGCGGGTCGGATCCAGGCTATTGTATGCAGTTCCGATTGAAATGAATGGAAATTATTTCTGCCTAACCATATTTCACTGCTATCAGTGAGATTTACATGTATCTTATTCCAGATCCAATCATCTTAGAATACTGTAAGACAGCTTAGAAGGAAGTATCTGGACTCTTGTGTAACAAAATGAGTGAATACTGTACACTTATTAAACAAAAAAAATCAATTATCGGGCAAATGATCTTTACAGAAAATGTAAGAAGCTAATACTTACTCAAAGATTTTTCCCAGCTGATCAACATCAGAGTTTCCACGGAAAAGTGGCCTAAAAAAAAAAAAAGCACACACATTTTCAATCCAGTAATTAAAATATATTTGAAGATCATCATCCAGCTTTCTCCCATGTTTTCCAATACTAGTTACTTCAGTTTCTTCAATTTCTCACTGTCCCAAGGCACACATTTTGAACTTCATCCAATGCCTCCTGCTCCCAGAATTCAGTACTGAACTTTTAGACAGCTGCTTTTCAGCCAACTTCTACCACCTGGTGACAGAAAAAAAAATCAGCATGTTCACTGAGGTTAAAAAAAAAAAAATCCTTGTTTACTATAACCCCCCTAAAAGAGAGGTTTTGAAGTTTTTTTTTTAAAAAAAGTCATTTGCTGCATGTATTTTTCTGTGACAATTACAAATACTTTGGGTTAATTTGATGGATGTTGGTTACTGAAACCACAGGCACAAAACTCCAGGTTAATTTGAGGAAACTCCCCAAGTTCTGCAGTTAAGAAAGCCCTTGTATTAAATTGGCAATTTTGCAAGACTCATACTAGTTCTTGAAGAATTATTAATCCTGAGCCAGGCATGAATAACAAAGCATTTTCAATAGATTAACTCACTGGAAACCACCTCACAGCATGACAAAATCTAGCAAATATGTTACATAGGAAAGGGAAATTCATGTTTAACAAAAAACATTTCTAATCCAAACAAGAGCCATGAGAGAAACTCTAGAATTGCCAATACAGCAGCCTTAAATTCTAGTCTGAAAGGCAGATATGGAAACCAAAAGAAATTAACCTCTAAAATTAATGTTGGGTATTTAACCTCCAAAGTCAAATGTCGAGTAGCTATATGTCATGAGATTTCCAAAATTCTGTATGAGGGCAACTGAAGAAAATAAAACATCACCAGTTTACTTAGATATCTTGATTAAACATCTACTTGTGATATATAACTCTGAAACTTTTTTTTTATTTCTTTCAAGGAATGCCAGAACCTATATTATTACATATTGGGATACATAGAACAACTCAGAATCCAAAAGCTAATAAAACACTTCTCTATAAAAAATTGTAAATCAAAAGCTTATAAAAGTAACTTTTTCTACTGAGAAATAACAATTCTCATTTGCTATGGTATTGAAAAAGCATATTGCTAAGTAGTAAGGTCGAACAAGCAGGTTTATTCCACCACCATCCCACCCCATTTAGAAAAAAGGTGAGGATGGGGAAGAAGGAAGGAAGTGGTCATGTTAAGAAAAGACATAAAATCATTCATGATTTTCATTTGATGGAAGTCAGAAGGAATGTAGCAGCCATGCTGATGCTTGGGCTATCGCTTTTCAAAATTACACACACACACACATACATACATATATACGTATATACTGTTCTTCTACTATTATATATGGAAGGAAGAAAACTTTGGGCCAACAGGGTGCATCAAAAAAAACCCAAAATACTCAAGATAAATCTCCTCCCCTAGTCTCTTCCCTCCCTGATACAGCTGACAAAGTGAGAAAGAGCCTGTGGCTTAGGATCAACACAGCTGCCTAATGTGCAAGCAGCCCAGGTTCGAATCTCGGAAGGGCATGGTTGGCTGATATATGTGTGTGTGTGTGTATGTCCCCTTAATAACATTAAAAACACGAATCCCGGGTATACACATAATGTGAAATAAATAAAGGTGATCACCAGGATAAAATCATAAACAAAAATGTTTAATCTACAAAACCAAGCTTTCGTCGGTCACACTACCGACATCGTCAGGGTATAAAATGCTGGATCCGGGAGTCTGTTTTTATGTGGCTGACTGCCTCTGCGCTCTGACCCTGCATTGAGTCATTGGTCCGCTCATTAGCATCGGCTATGTAGTTCTTAAAGTGGGCGTTTCTGAAGTTGTCCTCCCTTCTCCAATTGCTGTTGTTTTGTGCGTGTGCGTGTGCCTGGAGATCCGCTGTTCATCCACTCCCAGTCTATCACCACCCATTTGTCTTAGCTTGCCTCTGTATTGCTGCACTGTCTCATGTGCGTTTCAAGCTCCGTTCTTCTATTTGCCAGCCCTGTCGCCTTCCTTGCCCATGTGTAAATTCCTGGGGGTTGGTCATCTCGTTGTTCCTGTTTCTTATCCCTTCTCTCTCTCGCTAGCGGGTGAGCTCCTGTGTGTGCTAATGGGTTGCTAACCGGGCATGTCTTTGGAATTGCTCCACTACTTGTTACCCTCATTGCCCCCTCAGTACATATATGGGAGTGCAGGAGATAACCATCCCGTTTGCGCTCGCTATTACTCGCCTGTTCTCCCGTTGATCGGGGCCGTGCTTCTATTGCCGAGTCATTCGTGGGGCACGCCTCCGATGCATTTCCCTCATTCTTAAGTTCTATTCCCCTCCCCTGCATCTATAATCATCTGGGGGGGGTGTCCAAGTGCTTTTGCCCCACATTTGCTACCTTCCTCATTGGCAGGTACGCTCATCTGTCTGGCCAGGTGTCATCAACGGGGTATATCAGAGCTTTTACCTTTCTCCCCGGTGTGTGTGTATGCCCCTCAGGAGAAGCCATCCGGTCGTACCTGTTCATTGACCTCCTTCCCTTGTCCTGACTGGATTGAGTTGTTTGTGCTTTGGCCACCTGTGGGATATATCTCCTTCGTGCTTTTTCTCATCCTCCTTGTTCCTTCACCGATCTGGATATCAGCCCCTGGGGGTGGGTTGTCTGCTAGCATTGTATCATCCCTCCTCTCCTCTTTCATGTATAAGTGGATTGGAGATGTTGTTTTACTTGTGGGGTGTATCCCCAGTTCCCCACTCTCTCTCAGGGTTGTAGTTACCTCCCCTGTCATCCCCTCTTTCTGATCTTGTACGGAGTGAGTTGGTCGCCTGCGTTTCCAATTAGCACCCCATCTTTCCCATCCCCTTAATATGTGATATACTGGAGGGAGCTCTATGTGGCGATTGATGGAATGTTTGTCTGACAGCCAGACTTCCTTGAGCAGGCGGCTTGGTGTTATCTTGGAATATGGCCTCGATGTTGGTGAGGTCGAACCCGTGGCCGTAGTCGGCCATGTGGATCCACACTTGTGAATGCTGCTCTCTTCTCTTAACTGCCAGCTCATGCTCATGGACCCTGGTCTTAAGTCTCTTGGAGGTTTCACCAACATAATTGCAGGGGCAATCCTTGCAATTGTTTTTATATTTTACCGAGGATCTTTCTCCAGTGGGGAGCGGGTCCTTTATATATACGTATATGTATATGTATGTATGTGTGTATATATATATATATGTATGTATGTATGTATGTATGTATGTATGTATGTGTATATATATATAACAGGTGTACTGTAACTTTGCAAAATCCTAGAAGCAAACAATGGATGGAGACTAATCAAGGAGAGAAGCAACCTGGAATTAAGGAGAAACTTCCTAACAGTGAGGACAATTAATCAGTGGAACAGCTTGCCTTGAGAAGTTGTAGATTCTTCATCATGGAGGTTTTTAAGAAGAATCTGAACAGCCATTTGTATGAAATGGTATAGTCTAATCCAGGGACTAGAAGACCTCCCAGCTCCCTTTCAGATTCTATTCTGTTCTGTTCGGCTCTACTCTACTCTATTCATAGCATAAAGGACTGAACCTGAAACTTTCTGTAAGCAAAACTTGTGGTCTCTGCTGAACCGCCAAGCTCCAGACAGAGTTTAAAAATTAAGCATAAAGATTAAAATAAAAACAAGAGAGAAAAAAAACTAAACTAAAAATAACTTGAATTGAAAACTGGTTAAAATCTAATCCCACTTTTTAAAAAAAGATAAATAATAGAATAATGCAAGCAGCTGTCATCATTTCTGTTTTCTATATTTGTAATTAAGGATTAATATTGACTAATAGGATCACTTTGACCAAATTTTTATTATAAACGTCAAGCAGTAAAGTTCTGTCAATTAAATTGATGAAAAAAAATACTGGTTCCAGCAATTAATTTTAATGTGAATGGTAAGAAAATAAAACCTATTTTAATTCCAAATTATAGAACTACTAAATGAGTTTGTGTGTATCTACCGTACTTTCCGACGTATAAGACGATTTTCTAAACCATGAAAATCTTCTCAAAAGCTGGGGGGTCGTCTTATACGCCCAGTCGTCTTATACGTCAGAAAATACAGGTACCTAAAGAAACCAAAGAGGTTGGCCACAAATGGTTCAGTTATAAGAATTGGATTTGCAATCAAGAATTTTGCAAGTGGGGCCATTAGAGGAACAAGAAAAAATAACATGGCATTTTGCTTAAAGGTCCAGAGGTAAAAAGCCCCACCTTAGCATATCAAAAAACAACTCCAGAAATTATTTCATTTTAAGCGCAGCAGCCCTTTGCGCTGCAGAGCGGAGTTTTTTGCCAGAATCGGAGAAATATTTCCCAGGGCGGAATGGGATGAAGTAATCCGGCTGCCTTTATGTGCCAACTTCTTCTCGGGTGCCTTACCGCGGCTCACCCCAGGTGGGCCTTCTAGCTCCGCCTCTTTCTCCCTGGCATTTTCCAGGGCTATTTGGTTGCAGGGGACATTTAAATGAGCATCCGGGCTGCCAATTCGCACGGCAACGTGTAGGCCACCTCGGACACAGGAAGGCAAACCAGGAGGGAAAGGGAAGAGAAAGAGGAGGAAGGCGAGGTGCTGGCCAGCAGAAGTGTGAGGAACGGAATGCCTTGCACATGGAGCAAGCAAACTTACAAAAAGGGGAGCCCTCCCTCCCTCCTTCTCTCTCTCACACACACAAACACACACACGTGCGCGCTTTCTCTCCCTTCTCTCTCTCTCTCTCCAAAGGCACCAGAACAAAGTACGTGGGGGGAGGGGGTGCATCCATGCAGTGAAGCCTGATTGGATTATTATTAACTATGTCACTGTGGGGGCAGGGGTGGCAGCCCCCCCTCGACCGCTTACGAGTACATCAAAGCAAGCTCCCCCATATCCTGCACCCCATGCTCCTCACCCCTTGGTGCGGGGATTGGCTGTCTGGATGAGAGTTTAAGTATCCCACACCAATATGCCAATAAA